CCCACGGACCGATTGCCCACGCGGAAAGGTGAGGTTAGGGAAGAAGAGCATTTTCATGGATGAAAGGTGGTAGGTGGTACAAGAATGTCACGACCTGCTGGTCCCTACTCTTTTAGGCCGTGGAACGGCTTCTGACGTCAGGGTAGGAATACCAGCAGCAGTGGCTGGTAGTGGCTTCGAGTGGCCAGTAGTGGCTTGGACTGCTGGCAGGTGTGTTCCTGCCCGCTCCACGTCCAAACTCCTACACACAACCCTCATCACTCGACCATCAATCGCGACCGCAAGGCCAGTCAGGCAGAACAGCGTCATCGTGATCCAAGTACCTTGTGGACAGCCATACGGGGGTGTCTCCTCGCTCTATGAACTGCGAAATGACGCGAGGCCACCGAAGACACGGGCCGGGTGCGACAGGCAACCCTTACGGCGCAAGAGACTTTTTTGATCTCCGGCGACCCGGGCCCGATGAGATGTCTTGACCCGAGAACGTGTTTCATTTGCACGTTCTGAATGGCTGGGCTCTCCGAGACGAAATGTGTAGCCAAGCGAGACGATCGCTTTGGCTCGTCAACGAACGCTACGCACAGAGACAGCTCATTCTGCCTGATGAACTTGACTGAGCCCTTGGCGTGCGTCAAGCTTGTCCACTTTCCTCGGGCAGACAGCGCGGCAGGTCAAGCCTTCCCAGCGAGGAAGCAGCATCTCAACGTCCACCACGTCAAACCATCTCCACTGACGACGTGACAACCAGAGACGCAAGACAGAGCAGTCGCGATGGAGATTCGGCATTGAAGCTCTCGGCGGGTTTGCCATGCGTTCCACCATTCGAAGGCCGTCGAAAAAGCTCTTGCCTTCGACGAGGTATAAGACCTTGACCAGGCCTCTTGCTCAACATGTCTATCCAGCATCCCTATCCTGACACCGTCGCTCCCCTGCGCCTTCTTCAAGACTATCGTCTTTCGTGCCCTTTCCCCCTCCTTCCCTAATGAAGAAGGTGGTCACGCGACATTCCGTTCCACTGTCGTGCTGGTCGGTACCTTCATCCTCCAACAATCAGCGGCAACCTTCTTCATCCAGCATTGTTATCGACTCGGTCGCCGCAATCGAAATCAGTCTGTCGGCGCTCCATCATGCCCGCGTTTCCTCAATATGACTGGATCCTCGCCATCACTACCATAGCCCTCTGTGGTAGTGCTTTCGGTAACGGAGCCAACGATGTCGCCAACGCCTACGCTACATCAGTCGCGGCACGTACCCTGACCATGCCCCAAGTCGGTATCATCTCCATGATCACAGAGTTCATTGGAGCTGTGGCCCTGGGAGAGCGGGTCACGGGTACAATCAAGAATAACATTATCAACATCGATCACTTTGCCGAGAGCCCAGCCGTACTCATGTTGGTCATGGGATGTTCCGAAGTGGCCTCGGCCAGCTGGCTCATCCTCGCCACCAAGATGGGCATGCCCGTGTCAACGACGCAAACAATCGTTGGCGCCTTGATTGGGGCTGGCATTGCATCGGGAGCCAGTGTGTCGTGGGCTTGGAACGACGGCAGCGTGTCGCAAGTCGCCGCCTCGTGGGGGATCGCCCCTTTGATCTCGGGCGCCTTTGCTGCCATCCTCTTTGGCACCTTGAAATTCTTCATCCTCGAGCGTCAGAACTCGTTCGAGAAGGCCATGCGTGCTATACCCTTCTATCTCGCTTTCACCGGCGCCATCTTGGCGCTTTTCATAACAGTCGAAGCCCCTGGCGCGCCCAGTCTCGAAGCCCTTGGTGCAGGCACTGCCTGCGGAATAGTACTCGGGGTGTTCTTCGGCGTCCTGGCCATCGGCTACATATTCTTCATCCCCTACTTCAAGAGGGTAATCGTCATGCAAGATCCCCGGATCCGACCCTGGCACATCCCTTTGGGGCCTCTGCTACTGAAGGAGAACCCCCCGCTCTACTTTCCTGGCAAGGGCGATTCAATCGTCATTGATTACTATGAAAGTTCCCACGACCAGGCCACCAGTGAGAAGCAACGGTATCAGGATGGCAGCAGAACATCTGCATCGGATTTCGCCAGTACTGATAAGAAGAAGACCGACACCGATAGTCCCAATCAAATCTGTCCTACGACCGAGCCGGCCGCCACCGGCAGCAGCTCTGGTGTGCAACCTAATCTCGCGGGCAATGGCCAGTCTCTGGAGGATGTTGAGCGCCATGGGACCCTGCCCATTCGACGCAAGCATCTCAAGCCTGAGCCGGAGGAGCGCTTCCTTGCGCCAACGGCACACCTTCCTGTCTATCACCCACAACGACAGTGGTCGCTTCTCAAATACTTCTTCCTCCAGGGGGTAACGCGCGATTGTGTTACGCACGCGTCGGCTCAACTCGCAAACGTCCACGGCAAGGCGAAGCGGTATGATAACCGCGTTGAACACCTTTGGACCTACGCCCAGGTTGCTTCCGCGATTATGATGTCCATTGCACATGGGTCCAATGATGTGGCCAACTCGGTCGGCCCCTGGGTGGCATCCTACCAAGTTTTCCGTACTGGTCTAGTGACTGAGGATGTCAACACTCCTGTCTGGATCCTCGTTGTCGCCGGTTTCCTCCTCGGCGCTGGTTTTTGGTTCATGGGCCATCACATTATCAGGGCGCTCGGCAACAAGATCACACAGCTGTCGCCGACGAGGGGCTACGCAATGGAGCTTGGTGCTGCCATTACTGTGTTGCTGGCGAGTCGCCTCGGGCTTCCAGTGTCGACCACCCAGTGCCTCACAGGTGCTGTCGTTGGCGTGGCACTGATGAACTTGGATTTGGGCGCTGTAAACTGGCGGCAATTAGCTTTCATCTTTGGAGGCTGGGTGCTGACACTTCCGTGCGCCGGGCTCATGTCGGGTCTTTTGACGGTCATGGCATTGAACGCGCCCCAGTTTGGATCCTAAGATGTTCCACGGACTGGGATAAGGAGGAACTAGATGTACCTGGTTGTACGCAGAATTGACCTGGGACGATAACGATGTTATGATTACCCTCGTGCTGTTAGGCATCCATCACAGGCCGTGTTATGTGACGACCGGCCATAAACACAGTGTTCTCCGCATGTACGTCCTGAACTCTTGCTGAGATGCTTCCAGTACTTCATCTGCTCCAACACCTTCAAGTAGCACATTGCGTCGATGAGGAGGCCGAATAAGGGCCATCAGGAGCATGAATCACTCTCCAAGGCAAACCGCGGATTGAGGGATAAACCAGATTTCAAGCAACAAACAAGAGGACTCTCTATTGCGCTGATGCATGCGAATTCTAAAATGCTCCGAACCATGCCCATGCCAGAAGAAATCAAACGCCAGACCATGCACCCGCCCTTCCACATGTGGTATCAAAGACTGAAAAGAAACACCCTCATAAAGCATGGTGGCACCAGTTTAACTCTAGTTGAGGAAGAAGTCATCCCTCTTGGCGTTCCTCTTGAGCCCGCACTTGTCGAGGCACGCCTCGATGCCGAGGGCGACATTATCGGGAATGTGCTCGCGGAAGCTCGCAATGTCCTTGCCGTCGAGGGTCGTGACGCCGCCGAGCGTGGCCGAGACGACGTCGGGGTTGAGGCTGAAGAAGGCCTGGGCGACCTGCTCGACGCCGGGGTCGGGGTCGTTGAAGCCGGCGACGAAGACGGTGTCTTCACAATCTGCGACGAGACGGGTCAGCACCTTTTCAGTAGGACAGATGGGGACGGTTGGATGGATGGACTCACCAGGGTTGTACTCTTGATGGATTGCGCCCTTGGGGAACACGCTCATCTGGTAGAGCGACATTGTGTTCTCGATGGGCTCGACGCCGTTCTCGATGACAAAGTTGGTCACGAGGCGGCCCTTGACGACGACGTTGAGCTCGGTGGCGCGCGGGTGCACGTGGGCTGTGTTCATGCCGCAGGGGCCGAGGAAGCCGAGCGTCATGCCGGCGCCGTTGCCGATGAGGGCCGGGAAGGTCCGGGCTGTTGCGGAGGTGGAGAAGCCGCCCTTTCCCTTGGACTCGGACCCGGGGACCGAGAGGTCGGTGAAGTCAAAGACAAAGTCGCCGGGCTGGTCGAGTAGGTTGGCGCGCTGGCGCTGGGTTGGGGCCGTCATGAGCTTGGTGATGAGCTCGGGGTCGGCGGCGCGCGTGTTGACGGGGACGACGGGCGGCAGCACGCTGTCGATGGAGGAGTCATCGCTCCTGGGTGCGGACGGCGCGGCCAAGGCCACGGCGCTGAGGAGGATGGAGGAGAGGAGTGTTGATGAATGCATTGTGCTTGAGAGAGGGTCTGGTATCGGTTGGAGTGAAAGGAAACCGCTGCTAATGATGAGTCTAATGCTGGATGCTAAATGCTGGATGCTTCGAAGATGACGCTGAGAATGCTGAGGATGATGCTGATGATGGAGAGGTAAGAAAGAAAGACGCATGAGTAGCCAGCACTTGTTGTTCTATATACTCGAAAACATCGACATCTCAGCATCGTCGTGAAATTATCTGCATCCTTCAAGTCAGCCTCTCGCGGTCGACAGACATCGCGGCTCACCCAAGCCGTTGGGACATCTCCACAACAGCACATAGCCAGGTGCTATCAATAGCACACCCATCAGCAGCACAGCCCAGAAGTCATCACTCTGCCTGTTCCTCGCGAAGGAGTGAACGCCTTGCCAAAATGGTCGAACTAGCTGGCCAACTGTCCCCAGGATTGGCTGCCTTCGGTCATTTGCTGGCAGACGCTAGACCATTGCTGGCTATGGTCGAGGCGGTGACTGGGCTACAGAAGGAGAATAACAGTCATATTCTCATCTTCTGCTTACGGCTGCGCTCCATCATCATTGGCGCCCAGCATCGGCCGCTCAGGTTCCGGCCCATAGCTGGGGCTGGGGCTGGTTGGCCGCGGTAGGACTGACCTTGTCGTGCAATCCGGCAGGCTGTCATGCCACCCATGTTTTCTTCGCCGTGTGCTGTGTTGTGTTGTGTTGTGCACGATAGCCTGCGCCCACTGATGGTGCTGGGATGATGGCCGGCTTCAGTGGCCATCCGAACGGGCAGTGGAGTCTCCAGAGCCAGGATCACTATGCCTCGATATGCCAACACAACAAGCGGCGACCTATTTTGGACATCAGCGGGGGGATAAGCCCACAAGCCAAGCCCAGGCAATCTCACGGGAGATCAGAAAGTAGCCATCGTATGATGTACATCCTTCCGTTGGATCAATTGTTCGACGAATAATTGGCCAAAGAGAGAGTTTATTTGCTCCTCTCGCCAGCGACATCACGGAGGCTTGAGCTTGGGAGGCTCTTCGGCTGCTCGGGTGCCATTTCTGGACTCATCTTGGTTTGCGGATCGCAAATCTTAAATCTCATATTTGCTGACGCGTCGTAAGCAGCATCCCCCCTCTTGCCAATGGACTACATATGTTGGCCGTAATCCTTCCACTGCGGTGACGTGGAAGTCTTGAAGAAAACAATTTAGAAAAAAAAAAAAAAAAAAAAAAAAAAAAAAAAAAAAAGGAATGAGCTGCGCTCGCTGACGGACGACGCTATAGGATCATTCGCGACCTGAACATTGTCACAGCCTCAGATGCCAAGCTCCTTCTTCTCTTCATCGTCCAGCAGCCCCAAAGCCTGGCGTCTCGTGGGCGCACTGGCATCAAAGTACGGCACCTCAGCCAGCGAGGTCACTCGCGTGCCGTGACGCGGGTGCTTGCCCGCATAGTCCCAGCTGGCATTGTGGATCGTGATCCTGTCATCATCTTGTCAGTAGACCGAACTGCACCATGGAAGGGCTGTGCAACCAACCTGTTGTCCCACAGCGCGCTGGTGCCCGGCGTCCACTTGAACCTGAGCTGAATGTCGACGTTCTTCTCGTACACATCGTAGAGGTAGTTGAGAATCACGTCGCTCTCGGCCTTGTCGAGGCCGACGATGTGATCTGTCATGGCTCTGTTGACCCAGAGCGCCTTCCATCCTGTCGCCGGATGCACTCGCACCAGTGGATGCGTGCGCTCAATGTGCTTGGGGCCGGCGTTCGGCTCGTCGCGATCGAGGTAAGGATGAGCGGATCGGTATACTGCCCTCCTGCCATCGATGATCTTACGGAATTCCGGCGAGAGCTTCTCGTAGGCACTGTAGCCCGAGGCCCAGAGCGTGTCACCGCCCGTGGGAGGGACAGTGTCGTTGTGCAGATGCGTGATGCCTGCTGGCTGGAGCTCGTGGACCAGGTCAGAGTGCCACCTCGACGCACCGCCGGGCCTGCGGAATGATGCCGGCAACTCCGTAGCCTGCAGGTCGGGCCAGATGACTGTCACGCCCTCTACGCCCGGGACCTGGGGTACTTGAGGCTACACGATTGTGGTCAGTCGGTCTGAAGAGTCTTCTCGAGGCACAGGATGGACCAACATGAACTTCTACCTGGCCAAAGTGCTCGCCCAGATCCTTCTGTTGCTGGGGAGTGATGTCTTGGTCCCTGAAGAAGACCACACTACGTTCCGCAATCAAGAGTGCCAACTCATCTCGCTGAACGTTAGTCAGGTCCTTCAGCTGAATGCCCTCAATCTCGGTGCCAATGTGAGTCGTCAAGTCTGTCACCTTGGTGGCGGCGGAGAGGAGATTCTTCTTAGACTTGTCGGCGCGAGCGCCTGCGTCGACGTAGGGATACTCTTCCGAACGAATCTTGTACACGTCTTGGAGGTAGAGTGGCTTCAATGGACGATACGGATAGCCGCCCGACAGGTCAATCTTGGCCTTGGTCAAACGCTGCACTGTTGATCCAGGCAGGCCGAGAGTATCCTTGATCGGCTCGGCCGTATCAGTGATGGATGGGTCAATTGCGGATGGGGCCATGGTGGACTGCGTGTTGTTGGAACCAGATAAAGATACTGGGGTTGTGTCTTGAATCAGTCCAGGGTATGTTCAACACGTGGGTCTTTATTAACTGACATTTTATGAAGCAGCGAACCTCGATACTCGTTAGCATATGCAACGTTCGTGATTGAGCGTTGCTGAACGCCATGCGTCGATGCCCCGTCCGACGCCCCCACCCCCCCCCCCCCCCACACACGACTCGTACGTCTTCCTTATCGATGACCCCATACGCACCACATATGGCGTTCGCTCGATCAAAGGATCAGGCATTGGCCAAAGAGCCAGCAACCGGCCCGGACCGGTGGCGCACAACACGCTGAAGACGGAGAAGAGCAAGTCGATGATAAATCAGCGTGGGAGATTTTCTTGCCCCATTTGCAGCACGTATGGCGCCTTCTTTCACTGCATCGTCGTTCGTGGCCGTCATTGGCGCAGAGCCGCTCGCGCCATACACTTACAAGCACTTGTTGGCGCAGATCATCGGGCGGCGGAACATCATGGATCGGAGAAACCGTGGAGTAGCGTGGCGGCGACTGTGTCGGCGTTCATCCAATGAACTGCCTGGCACGCCGATTTGACAGCTGAATGTGCCCGATCTGACTTGCCGGGCCTGCAGATGTTGGACGACAGCTTGATGATACCATGGTCGATTCGGTAGTCGGCGCGGGCCCGCTCCGCCGTGAGCTTCGGTGAACCATGCGCGAGAGATCCGCCATCGGAAGTCGGTCGACATGGCAAGGTTTTTGTACAACGCAGTAGGATCTTCAACGGTGGTAATAAAGAGGGAAGAAGCCAGACTCGGCCTTTTCTGGCCGGCTCACCACGTCCTCTATCTTCTTCGTATCACTCGAGATCGCCCAGCATGAGCGCCGACGTGGGAAAAGACCGTTTGTCCTCGGACGCTGACGTCCCATCGGACCAGAAGGTCGCCGTCTCTTCTGTGGTGTCGACCGATGGCACACCTTCTCCGACAGATGCTGGAGATTTATCCATCATCCAGCAGAAGCCCAAGAAAACTTGGAAGTCCTATGTCTGGGACACGCTCGACAAATCGCCTGAAGAGCGCAAGTTCCTCTTCAAACTCGATGCTGTGTTGCTTACCATGGCCTCGCTCGGCTACTTCATCAAGTACCTTGATCAAATCAATATCAACAACGCCTTCGTCTCCGGCATGCGGGAAGACTTGGGCCTTTATGGAAACGAGCTCAACTACATGCAAACCTGTTGGACCGTGGGATACGTCCTTGGTGAGATTCCAAGGTATGTCTGCGCCGCTCTGTCCCCTGGTATTCCACAAGAAACGTGTACTGACTGGTCTTGAAAGCAACCTGCTCCTCACCAAGATCCGCCCTTCCCTGTGGATCCCCGCCTGCGAAGTGACCTGGTCTGTCTTGACTATCCTCCTGGCCAAGTGCACCAACGCAAACCAGATCTACGCCCTCCGCTTCTTCATCGGCCTGGCCGAGTCCACGTTCTACCCGGGCATGCAGTACATCATCGGCAGCTGGTACCGCTCCGACGAGCTCGCCAAGCGCAGCTGCATCTTCCACGTCAGCGGCGCCATCGGCACCATGTTCTCCGGCTACCTCATGGCAGCCGTCTACCACTTGGACGGCGTGCACGGCTACCACGGGTGGCAGTGGCTCTTCATCATCAACACGGTCATCTCCCTGCCGATCGCCATGGCCGGCTTCTTCCTGTTCCCCGACCTGCCCGAGATCACGCGCGCGTGGTACTTCACCAAGGACGACATCGCCATGGCGCAGAAGCGCATGCAGCTCGAGGGCCGCGCCAACAGGGCCCCCTTCACCAGGAAGAAGTTCAAGAAGATCTTCACGAGCTGGCACATCTACTGGCTCACCGCCCTGTACATCTTCTTCAACAACGGCTGCGGCACCGCGGCGCAGCCCGCCTTTCAGCTGTGGCTCAAGTCGCAAGGGTACAGCGTCGCGCAGATCAACACGTACCCGACCATCACGGCGGCCATCGCCGTCGTCACGACCCTGATCTACGCGTGGACGAGCGACAGCGTCTTCAGGGGGGCGAGGTGGCCTGCGATTGTCTTCTCGGGCGTCGTCAACATTTTCGCCAACCTCAGTCTGACCGTCTGGAGCATCCCCGACGGCCTGAAGTGGGCGAGTTTCTTCCTGGTCGGCTTTGCGGGCGGCATCAGTGGCCTGACCTTTGCCTGGGCGCACGAGATTTGCAAGGACGACAACGAGGAACGCGCCCTGGTGACGGCGAGCATGAATGAGATGGCCTATGTCGTGCAGGCTTGGCTTCCTCTGCTCATCTGGCAGCAGGTGGAGGCGCCTAGGTACCCCAAAGGTTATTCGACCATGGTTGGGATTTCTGTCTGTCTCATTGGCACGGCGTTCATTATCCGATTCCTCCACAAGAGGGAAATCAGGGGTAAGAACATTCATGTCGCTTGAGCAAGGTTGGGTGTTCCATGAACAAGTAGACTTGAATCTGAAGGGAGGGAGGGCTGCCATGACAGAGCGCTGCAGATGAGAAGCGTGCCTTTACAGATTGTAGCCGTCTACACGAGAGACATGGTCGATAGTGGTTCAACTTAGTGGCGCTTGTTAACAATACGAAAGGATGCAATGCAAGAAGATTTGACATCCAACATGAAGTCGACTTGAGTGAATAAGGCCATTCCCGCAAACCACATTCCTGGGGATGTTAATGGAACCAACGTGGGTTTTAGCGTAAGACGGGGTGTGAGGACGAATGCGTCTGCGATTCTGCGTCAACTCATCGAAAGTGGGCAGAAACCCAGACATGGAAATGATCAGTCAAGAATGAATACCTGCTTTGTCTACTTCTCCTCGCGCAGAACGGAGCGTCCTTCCTCCAGCTCTTCGCTCTCCACAGCACTAGTTCCATCGGAATTGAACAGAGTCTCCTGGGCTGCAAAGATTATTAGCAAAACAGGCACTCCGAAAGGTTCCAAGACAGGACTCACCACTCCACAGCTCGGCATAGAGGCCGCCCCGGTCAATCAACTCCCTGTGCGTTCCTACTTCAGCCACGCTGCCCTCCCTCAGCACGATGATCATGTCGGCGTCAAAGATGGTCCTGAGCCTGTGCGCGACGAAGACGCTCGTCCTCGACTTCTCGCGGAGGATGCTGTTGATGTTCGCCATGAGCGCCTGCTCCGTGTGCGTGTCGAGAGCGCTCGTGGCCTCGTCGAAGAAGAGCAGCGGCGGGTCCTTGAGGAGCAGCCTGCTCACGGCGAGGCGCTGTTTCTCACCGCCCGAGATCATGAGGCCGCGCTCGCCGACCTTGGTCTGGTAGCCGTCAGGGAACTTCTCAATGATCTCGTGGATGCGCGCGCGCTGGGCAGCTGCCTCGACGAGCTCGCGGGACGCCGACATGTCGCCGTAGCGAATATTGTGCTCGATGGTATCGTTGAATAGGGGTGTATCCTGGGGCACCACGCCGATGGAGCGTCGGAGAGAGTCGAGAGTGACCGACTTGATGTCCTGGTCATCGATGGTGATGCGGCCTGACTGGGCATCATAGGAGCGGAAGAGGAGGCGTAGGAGAGTGGACTTGCCACATCCACTGGGCCCAACGACGGCTACCTTTTTCCCGGCGGGGAGGGTGACGGAGAGATTCCTCAAGATCGGCCTCTCGGGGTGGTAGCCGAACGTGACGTTGTCGAATTTGATCTCGCCGCCCTTGGCCAGCAGCAGGGGCTTGGCGTCGGGCTGCTCCTTGACGGACACGTTGACCTTTTGCAGGTTGAAGAGAGTCTCCATGTCCAGAAGCGACTGTCTCAGCTCACGGTACACGGAACCGAGAAAGTTCAGAGGCACCGACAGCTGGAAGACAAGCTGGTTGACCATGACGAGGTCACCGACCGTCAGGGTGCCTGCAGCGACACCGTTGGCCGCCAGGTACATCATGGCAGTCAGCGCCGACGAGAAGATGATGTTCTGGCCGCTGTTGAGAAACGCCAACGACGTGGCGACCTTGATGGAGCTCTTCTCGTATGCCGTGAGAGCAGCGTTGTATCTCGCAACCTCGTACTGCTCATTGTTGAAGTACTTGACTGCCTCATAGTTGATGAGCGAGTCGACGGCAACAGTCGAAGCCTTGTTGTCGGCGGCGTTGGCTTGCCTGCGGAACTTGGTGCGCCACGCCGTCGTCCACACAGTGAAGGCCGTGTAGGCGATCATGGTAGTAGCTGTGATGGCGGCAAACTGGGCGCCGTATTGCCACGTCAAGATGCCGCAGACCATGGAGATCTCGAGGCCAATGGGGAGAATGTGGAACAGCATGCTCGTCAGAAGAAAGCTGATTCCTTTGGTACCGCGGTCAATGGCCCGGGTCAAGCCACCAGTTTGTTTGGAGAGGTGGAAGCTGAGGTCAAGGCGCAGCAAGTGATCAAAGACGTTGCAGGCGACCTTGCGAATGGCCTTCTGGGCAACGGTGGCAAATATGGCGTTTCGCAGCTCCTGGAAGACTGTGGCCCCTATCCTTGTCGCGCCATAGGCGAGGATCATGCTCCCTGCAATTGTGACGGCCGTCCCGCCCATGGCTCCCACATCAACATTCATGGCATCGACGATGCTCTTGAAGTAGAACGGCACCTGGACGTTTAGGACCTTGGCGCCGACCAGCAACGCCACGGCCACGCCGACGCGCAGTTTCGTGCTGAAACTGTCTTTCGGCCATAGGTATCGCGACATCTCCTTCATGATGGCCCAGTCAGCCTTGCGCTGTTCCTGTGCCGATTTGTCCACGGCAGCCATGGGGTCGGGCGAAGCAGGCTTTGGGGCCTTCAGTGGTATAGTCCCCTTGTCGGTTCTCAGCGCAGACGCAGTGTTCGGCACTCCATTCACAACCTTCGGTTCTTCGCGGTGCAGAGGTGCGCTAGATTGGAACACACGGACTGCCGAGACGGTGCTTCGCGGGAGCCATGGTGACGGTACAGGCCGTCTCGTACTGTTCAGTTGTTGTGCGTATGACCTCTTTGAGGCTGTGCATAGCAGGCGCGAAATCATCGTCGCCGTTCGCTCGACAGAGCTATCATCTTGCAGCAGCAAGCTGGTGTGGAGGGGTCCTGCCTGCGTCGGGAAGCCGGGAGTGATGGTGGGGGGATTGCTCGGTCTTCGAGAGGGGTCTTGGGCAGCGAGGAGAAGAGGTGGCGATTGGGCGAGGATCTGATGGATGAGATTGGTAGAGCGCGTCTGTAGAATTGACGTTCAGAGCTTACAGCGTGGGGATCCAGAGAGTATATGAAGCAGAAACAGAGGCAGGATGATGCCCGTGACTTGGAGCTCGAGATGGCGGCGGAGCTTTGTCGAGCTTCGGCCGCGGGATGATGCAATTGGTTAGGCCCTGCGCCATTTGGCATTTGCCGAGGCATCAACCCAATCAGAGAGCCTCGCTCTGCTGACTCACCAAGGATTAGGGTCGTATGGCGATAAGCGCACGAGGCAGTCACTGATAAGAGCAAGTCAAGTCGATGGCCTCATCTCTCTATGTCTCTCCTGTCTGCCTAAGTATCCTAGGTGCCTACTCAGTCCTACGCCGCGTGTACTCCAATTTCGGCTCTTCACCAAGGTTTCCTCTGTTTCATCCTCCAAACTTGCCAGGCCCTACCTACCACCACGGCTGCGTCGGCCTCTCGAGCGAATCCGCCGGCACGACATCAGGGTGCGCATTCTCGATCAACATGCGCATGTACTCGTTGAAGAAGGCTCCAGCGCGAGGCGCCCCCGGCTTGCCGCACTGGCCGTCACTCTCGCCCGGCGGCTTGACCCAGACGAGGCTGTCGACATACGGGCTGTCGACGTCGGACGTCGGTGTCGGGCCCAGACCCGAAGGCCACACGTTGCACCACTCACCCCACTCCTCACGCGCCCCCGGCCGGTGCACGCGGCTCTGGTCGATGATGAAGTTGGTCGGCAGACCCTCCTCCGCGAGCAGCGGCGCCAGCGATCGCGAGTAGTTGTTCTCGTCCCACGACGGGCTCCACTCCGTGTAGTCCTCGCGGACCTCGGCGTGGAACGGGTTGTAGTTGGAGACGTTGGTCGTGTACCCGCGGATCTTGGTGCCACTGCCCGCGAGGCGCACAATCTTGGCGACTTGTTTGGCCGCTGTTCTCTTTGTCAGCCTGTGAGAACCTGGACAAGAGACGAGCATCACTTACTGAGGACCAGGTTATCGGGCCAGCCAAGCCAGCCACCGTGGGAGACGTCAAGGTAGAGGTTGACATTGGGCAGCTGGAGCTTCTTCAGAGCATAGGCGATGCCCTCCTCCTGGATTGGCTTGGCGACGGCACAGGCCTCAATGCCTTGGTTCGTCACCATGTTGCCGATCGCGTCAGGCTCGATGACGACGGCAAAGGTCAAGTCCGAGGCACGGCTCAGCCTTTCGGCCCATGCGTTGACGTACTCGTCTCTGTAACGCCGAAGACCGTCTTGTCCCGTCAGCTCACCGGCGCTCTCGCCAGCACTGCAGTCGCGGTTCGGCAGGTTGTACAGGACGAGGCCGACAATCTGCTCGACGCCGCCCTGGTTCTGCTCTGCGCGGGCTGCCGAGATGGCCACGTCGAGAGCACCGAGCCCGCCGATGCTGGGCGCCCAGACAAACGTGCCGCCGTTGTCCTGGACGTAGCGTACTTTCAGCGCATTTTCGGTGTCATTGGCCTCGATGAAGGTGTCGAACGTCTCCTCGAGCTGCGCCGCATAGGCGCGGCTGATGAAGAGCTTGCGGCCTTCGAACGGGTTGTCCGAGGTGTCGCGAGCGGCAGGGCGAGACAGCGCCGGAGACGCGAGGACGCCCCCCAAGTAGAGCGCCGTCAGAATGGCGACTGAGCGCATCTTGATCGCTTGCGCTGGGTGAGTGACTGTAATTGGTGTGGCGACTGGAGTACAGGATGACTCGCTTTGAGCAACTGATGGCCAGGACCCTACTTATGCTTCTCGAGCTATTACACGCCAACCTGATCCAACAGACTGTTGATTTCGAATGCTGATATTGCCTTTTCAGGCTCGGAGCCAAACATGGTGTCGTACAGTCCGGATCCTTCAGATAGCCGAGCATCGCCCAGTCCCGAATGGACCTTTCGGCCTTCTGTCACTGGCAGGGTAAATGAATAAGCTGGGAGATAGATAGACCTCCCGAACCACTTTTGGCTGGCACTGGTACGGAATCAAAGTGGCCGCACGTAGGCCGCTGGGCGAACACCACATAGCTGTCATGTTGTTGAGTCGCAATAAATTGCCAGGTGTCACAGTACGGCAGCGTGGCCCGTCGAAGCCACCGTTCCCATGGCGCCAAGACTTGGTATGAGGATGCAGTGTGCCAAGGCCCTCCGCGCAGTATCTCCTCACGCATGTTGGAGCACCGCAACGTGGTCAATTCCGGCGAGCTGCAACGTCGATCAGTCTGCCGCCATCTTGCAGGCTTCCGATCCGCAGGGCGACCAGCGGAGCTTTATCAAAACTGGTATTACCACTGCGATCTACGCCTGACAGTTCAAATAATTGCTTTGTATATAACATGATTCCACTATACACATTTCGCCGCTCGCCCACCGACCTTGAATGGTTCCCCGTAACAAGTCGATTCTTGACCTGCCTCCATCGGCTCCTTCCCGGACGTGCTCCACTTCGCCGGACGGCAGTCTTCCGGAGTGTGAAAAGGGAAGCTTACGTGCTGCACTTGGCAAAATGGCTGCTACTTGGCATGCCGCTGTAGACACTCCGCAACATATCATCTGCAACAAGCAACGGTGGGATTCAGGAGGCGCGGAACAGCCAAGACGGTGTCGAAACCGACACTCCGCGAGGACGCGGTCGATGCAATATCGACGACTGCGTGATGCCGTCATTGATTTGATCACGAACTGTCATGCACTTCTGACGAATCTTGTGTTTGATCGGCAATGGGGCGGCTTTGAATATGATGCCTAAGGTCGAGAGTTCAGAGCGCTGCTTGAGATATTGCTGCTCGATAACATGGCCATCTTGCGATGATGACGTCTCCTATGGTCCTTTCCTGACACGGCTTCGTAATTATGTTTGTATATGGCCCTGAATATCCGGTACATCGAAGGTGACTGAAGCCCCACCACGCAGGATAGTCACGATTCTTCTAACTGATGAAAACAGAGACCTCTGACCCTCCAGGCACATATCTCTCGTTTCTGCGCACGCGGCAAGAGCACTCTGCAAACCTTACAGCTTAGGAAGCACAAAAACTGATAGACTCCGTCTTTGGTAGTTACGGTGGTACACTCGGGAATCATTACTCAATGATCGGCCAAAGTGAGGCACTGCAACTGCCTCAAAGGCTATCTTGTCGCATGTTGGGCTAGTGCTGGAGAGCTACTTCATGCACTTGACGAGAAATCCCGACCGAGGCGAAGAACCAAAACGACCCTCTACAATCATATCGACCAGAACGACCAGACGTGTGATAGGTGAGTCTCGAGTAAGCAATGCACATTCGCCATATGGCGGCTTTCTCCCTGACTCTCTTACGCCGCAAGACGCATCAATTGTCCCGCCTCAAAGTATCCTTCGAAACCAAGATTGAACATGTATACACTTGGCTTCCGGTATCTTCCACACATCGGCTCAAAAGAAAGAAGAAGCATAATCGGGAGGCTATCCCAAGAATAGCTTGCCCCTCACCCCTCCCTCCCTTACACCCGCCCCTCCTATTCTTAGTCTCCCCCCAAACCGGGCTCCACGACGATCCGGTCAGTGCCCCCGTTTCACAGCCTGCCGTGATCTGCACCAGGTCCGTCTCGAAATCTGGCCCGTCACCACCCCAGCACCCTTACACAAGCGCCAAGCGCGCTGGCCACTCCGGCACTTGACATTCAGAATCACAGACCAGGACGCGGCAAGGTCGTCAAGTACCCCCTGTGCATTGCTAACTGTACGGGAATTGTCTACGCTACGCGACTGCGGTTGTCTGGTGCCGTACCGAAATTTCTGCCATACTCCCCTCCGTATGTTGGATATCGCAACTCCGAAAAAGCTGTAATACCCACAGATGGGAGTTCTCCAGGGTGAACCCTTGTGCTTTATTTTCCTCCTCCTCCTCCTCCCCCACATTAAGAGGCGCACCCAATCGGTGGTAACGAGTGAATGTGTGTTGCTGCGTGACCGTCGATGAGCCAGGAGCGACGCGACACTGCCTGACCGCGGGAATCCGTCAGACGAAACGTTGGTCGGCGCGCAAGACGGTAAATGCAGTCCTCGGAGCCCTCAGCCGCCGCCCTGGTAATCTACTGTCCGGCACTGCCGAATTGCGCAGTAAAGACTGTCTGCAAGCTCATCTCGTGGAGCCGCGGGGATTTTATGACGTGACTGCTGAAAAGAAGAGGACCGATCGCTTGCTCGTCAAACGCGTGAGACCGGCTCAGCGCTTGTCAATTTCATCGTCCGAGATATCGGCCATCAGAGTCTCTCTGCGCCACGGGCAAACCGCCTTGGCCGGGCATGTACGAACTATTGTCGTTTCTGTTGTTGTTGTTGTAGTCGTCCTCGCCATCGTAGCCTTGGTCGCCTCGCTGCTGAGGGAGCGGAGGCAGCTTCTGGAAGCCCTTCTCGTTGTAGTAGCCCATTTGCTCCATGTCGTTTTCGTCTCTTCCATAAGCTTCAATGATGGTCTGGTTGTTGGCACGGGGCGCTCGGGCGGTCTGGGGTATGGCGAGAGGAGCCGGTGCGGCGACAGGGGCGGGTGGAGGAGCGGCAGCTTCAACATCGGCCTTCTTGGAGCTGTTCTTCTTGAAAATGAAGATTCCAATAGCAACGAGGATGCCAATGAGGGCTAGGGTTCCGAAGGTGATACCCACAGCGATGCCACGATCCGAGTCGCCTCCGGTGTTGGCAGGGGCAATTACGGGTGCGGCATCAGCAGAGCCAGTAGGCATAGGGGCAACCTCCTCGCGAGCGATCGAAGTAAGTCCAGGAATTCCAGCAAGGGGGGGCTGGACCGCTGAGGGCAGTGCGGCACTTGGTTGTGACGGATTGGGCAGTGAGGCACTAGCTGCCGGCAAGGGCAGGACTGGCTGCGGCTGTTGGGGAGGTTGCTGAGGTTGCTGAGGCTGCTGAGGTTGCTGAACCTGGGGAGGAGGTTGGACAGGCTGGACAGGCTGGACAGGTTGGACAGGCTGGACAGGGGCCGGAGGCTGCGCTTGGGGAGGAGGTTGAACTGGGACGGGAGGCTGGACGGGAGCTGGAGCCTGCGGGACCGTGGTCGGAATGGCACCAACAGGAGGAATCGTGTTCATGCTTCCAGGTAGCGGCCTCTCAGCGTTAGAGGGCGGGCGTCGGCCGGCATCGGGGTTCACAGGAGCCGGCTGTTGGGGAGGCGGCACGTTGCCCGTTTGCACGGGGTTGCCCGGGAGCGTGGTTGTGAAAGGGAGTGCGCCAGGGATCTGACCAACAGGTTGCGGTCCGAGCTGTGGAGCGGCGCCGTTTGTTGGGAATCCTGGGGGCGGCAAAGGTGCTGGCTGAAGTTGCTCGTTTCCCGAATCGGCACCATCGTCGGAACTGTCCACCTGAGCGACAGGAGGAGGGGCAACACCGGGGGGCACAGCACCGGGAGGGGGCACGGGTCCGGGAGGCAGCGGTTGAGCAGCCTCGTTTCCAGAGTCTGAGTCTGAGTCGGCAGCGCCGGGGACACCAGGGACGGCAATGTCGCTGTTTGATTCGGAGCCAGGTACCGTGGGAACTGGTTGAGGAGGCGGCGCCTGGCGGCGTGCTAGGTTGTGTCGAGGTCGTCCGACGAACTTGGGAGTGTTCCTCCTACTCCTCCTCTGGCTGCGTCTGTGGTGTTAGTCATAAAGTCCAAGAAAGTTCCATATGTACGCATGGAGAGACTAACCGGAGGACGTTGTACGTTGCTCCGTCCATGGTGGATGAGAGTTGTAGGCGAGAAATGATCGCTGAGTTGTCTTGTAGCTGAATCCTCTTGCGTCCCAAGCACGACACCTCTTGTAGGTCCGGCACTCCCTCTGTGACCGAGTGCAAGAAAAGAAAAAGGAGATAAATCAACCAGTGGTATTGATGAATCGAGTCAGCAGCTCAGCTGTTGGCTTAAGGTAAGTGTGAGTCTAGGACACCACCAAGAATCGAAAGACCGGAAAACAGGCGCCGACAAGAAAGGAAATTCTACCAAGCAGCGTGGTAAAAGCACAAATGAAAAAGAACAGGAAGATCAAAGACGCAAGGAGATGCGGACGAAGAGAGGCCGGCACTGAGCGGTGCCTATGTATGAGTATGGGCTGTGACCTCCATGTTCTCCTCCGCAACCTCAGTTGCCACGGGCAGTACAGCCTGGATGAGACAGCGACTATGGCCCACTGTTCCAGTTGTGACTGAACTTCCAAAATTGGGCTCTGGCGGGGACAAAACCCCGTCCCGAGGGGTCCTTGACGAGACGTTGTTTCAGGGACCCATTTGGTGAAGGGCCCTCTGGGAGATAGCAGAGCCCACCAAAGAAGCGCCCGTCGTCACGGCGGTGTCCTCCCCCTTACCGATCAGCTCGGACCTTGGTGCGGCGCCAGGAAGATGCATGCGCCAAGGGTGTATGCTTCTGCACTGACGCCCCGGGAATGGCACTTCTTGAAACGTGTGGTGCCTGGCGAATCACAATGAGATCGCACTTGCGCTCGGATTGCCATTGGACATGGAAATGGATTTCCGCCGGGATCCCAGGACAGTGAAGTCTGGCCGTCATGATCTTCCTCGCTTCCTGTCCTTTCTCGCCTTGTTGGCTTCTTGAGTCCAGCATGCTGGGAATGGGTAGTTGACCAGCCCCGCGCTGCGGAGGCGCTAGCTTCATCGCCAATGTGCCTAACCATTCCGTGCTGTGGCATGAGCCCGTTTTGTTTGGTCGTCCAGCTGCATCAACTGTCACGGAATAACGACCCAGATATGTCGACCCGTCAAGCCCTACAGTCGCGCCGTGACAGGCGAAGGATCTTCCGCTGAACGACAGATACTTCCGTTGGTCCCAACATCGACTGGTAGCTTGAGCTTTCAATGCGAAGCAGCCGGGGAATATTATGGGTGGCGTTCTGATATCCCGATCGTCGGAAAAGCAAGATCGTGGCTCGTGTGATGGAGTGCATGGTTCATTGACATTGGCATTGCCAGGGATATATCGCCGCTTGACGATAGGACCTGAACAGCCCGCATCGAAGGGCGATCGCTTTTGCTGGTTGGTTGGTGTCGCGACCCTACCTCTCTCCTTGGCTGCCGGTAACCCTGGCTTGCCTGGTTGTGGTCGTGACTGGTGCGGGAGGTGCTCAAGCTGATGCAGACAGAAGCAGCGTCGCTCCACCTGCTTCGAGGCCAGGTGCCGCGGCGACCTTGGGTGACGTTATTTCTGGGTTGCGACCCAGCTCTTTTTTTGGTGTCCAGGGTCACGTAATGCGTAATCAGGGGAGCCAGGGTTTCCGATACTTGATCGCCTCGCCGTACTATCAATATACCCTTGGCGTCTCGGAGGCGGTCATCATTTGGGTCCTCAAGGCTTTTTATCGCTCCGACCGAACCTATTGGCGGGCCTGCATGTGGTGACAGCCATTGCTTCTGGAAGCATGTTTGGCCATCGAGCTGGCGAGCGCGTGCTGTCTCGTCAAAGGCGCGGGTCGCTGTCCTTGACGGTCAAATGTGTAGGATAAAAAAGATGAGAACTCTCGTGACTCTCTGGTTGAACTCGATCAAAGCCGTAGCCGGAAATAGATTGTTGATGCTCGAGTTGTCGCTTGTCTTTGATGGATCGTGTTTATGATGCATCCAGAGCATTCGGAGGAGGGATTCGTGGACATGGTCGCTGGAAGGAGTTGAGCGGGGACCACCATTTGCTGGCCTGTCTTGCCTGTGTTCTTTCGCGAAGTGGGGTCGGGGCAGGAGGAAGCTGCGACGGAGCAACTTGTCACACCTTGGAACCTGCCCTGTCAACGCCAACCACCTGTCGTGCAACGCCTTACCTTGAACCTGCGCCACAGCTTCGTAGCACTCCCAAAACAAAACAGAGGACAAGGTTTGAGCTTGTGAAATTAAGAACCTCGCATCAAGTCAATGATTGGATTTTCTTCTTGCCTCAGCAGTCAATTCATCATGGTCAGCTGAAACTTGACCGGCCGGTTTGTACTCTGACGTGGTACCTGGGCGCCAGCTATCTTCACCTTTGGACATCTCCAGGGCAAGCCCATCGACTTTGCCTGCTCTAGTCCTGGAGACCTACATTCTGAACTGCCTCTGATGTTCTAGCCACCATAACAGGCCTCCTAGCATGAGCCCCCGAACAATAGCGAGGATGTTCCTGTGAAGTGACTAATCGACCTCGGAGGTGGCATCCGCGAGATCTTAGAATGGCCGATAGCACCCCCAAAATCATCATATCGTACTCGTAGCATCACGGCATAGTCGGAACACCAGGCCAGCTCATCGACTACGACATCATGTTGTTCCTTAGTAGATAGCATTGCTCGACAAGGGATGCTGTGAATCAAGCAGGAAACACCAACGAAGCTTTACCACATCCCTCATTAGGAGGGAGCCAAGCCGCCCAGGTCAGAGAGGCTAGTTTAGTTTCTTGCTCTCTGCCCATCTTCCCACCACCCCTGCTGTGTCCGTCCCCCACGTCTCTCTGCCCCGCAACAAAATCCGGGGGAGGGGTAAAGGTCTGCCTGCTTCAGAATACCTCATGTAGTAGAGGAAAGAATGCCGGTCCCCAAATTCGAGATCTCGACGGGTACCCAGTTTTCTATATGGTTAAGCTTGGCGGCTGACTCACTGAAGCTTATATAAACGTGCTCTGATGGGAAGCATTCAGTCGGATGAGATATATGTTCTCTACTGCCTGGTGTTAACGAGTCCCCCAAACCTCTTGTGGGGATTTAAGGAGTCATACATCGTATAATACTTGGGATACGTCAACAGAGAAATGAATCAAATAGCCAAGTCGGTAACCTCTGCCAAAGACCAACTATCCCATTGAGAGCCCCCATAATCTCTGCACCTCGAAACATCTTCAAAGACTGCCGATCCTAACGCAGACAGCACGCGACCACATGGGCATTGTCTGAACTCAAGATCGCAGGTGCCAAAAAACGCATTCCTAAATCAGTTACTTCCGCAAGTCACTTTCCACGAAGAGTTCTACGATAAGTGAAATGATGCTCAGCATGTGCATTACAGCACGCTAGATGCCCCCCCTGCGACCGCTTTCAGGCTGTCCGCTTGCGGATCTGGACCTGAGTAAGGTGTTAGCTCCGTACAGTTGCAAGATGCACAGCACACGCCACGTGTTGTGTGGAGGGGATTGAGAGAGATTACAAAGCAGTCAGTAGCTCAACCGAGGTATATTATAAATCTAGATCAATTACGCCATTGAGCGAACATGCTAGAGATACTGCGTGATCATCACCTCGCAATACTTGAAGCCTTTAACGGCCGTCACCGGTTTCTGTAAACCAAATCATAACAGCACTTCCTCTACGTTTTCTTTCAATTAGCACGCCATCAGTTTCACACCCCGACGCATAAAATGAGCACTCCAAGGTCCCGTCTTTTCGAGCCTGTCAGGCTCGGCACCATCGATTTGAAGCACAGGATCGTCCTCGCTCCTTTGACTAGATACCGGAATGGCGATGACCACGCCGCCCTGCCTTTCATGCAGCGCTACTACGCGGACCGTGCCTCTGTTCCCGGAACACTAGTCATCTCGGAAGCTACTGGCATCGCTCAAGGCCAAGAAGGCCAGCGCTTCCTTCCCAGCTTCGTCACGGATGCACAGGTTGCCGCCTGGAAGAGCATCATCGAGGGCGTGCACGCCAAGGGCTCCTTCTGGTTCCAGCAGCTCTGGGATCAAGGCCGCGCCGCTGATCCGTCCTACGTCGCCGAACGCGGTGGCCGATACCGTTCCAGCAGCGCTGTTCCCCTGGACGGCCGGGAACAGGCCCCCGAGGAGATGAGCGAGGAGGACATCCAGAAGGTCATCCAGGACTACGTCGCGACCGCCAAGCGCGTGATTGCTGCCGGTGGCGACGGTGTGGAAGTTCACGGCGCCCACGGCTATTTGATTGACCAGTTCCTGTCAGATGTCGTCAACAAGCGGACCGACAAGTGGGGAGGCTCTGTCGAGAACCGCGCTCGCCTTGTTGTCGAGGTCGTCAAGGCCGTCTCGGAAGCAATTGGCACCCAGCGTGTCGGTCTCCGCTTGTCGCCATACGCCAGCTTCCAGGGCGCCATCAAGTCTGACACCAAGGAGCTCAACCTGCACATCGTGAAACAGCTCAAGGCGCTCGACGGAGCTCTTGCATACATTTCCCTCGTCGAGGCCCGCGGCGATCCGGCTACTTTGATGCTCAACAATCCAGAGGACGAGACCAAGACGCTAGACTTTATTCTCGAGGAGTGGGACAACCGATCTCCTGTGATTGTTGCCGGTGGCTATACCCCTGAGTCGGCTCAGCAGGCTGTTGACGGCCACTATAAGAAGTGGGATGTGCTCGTCGCTTTCGGCCGTCACTTCCTCGCCAACCCGGATCTGGTGTACCGGGTCGAGAACGGGATACAACTGAACGAGTACAATAGGAACACGTTTTACTTGAACAAGACAGAGGAGGGGTACAACGACTACCCCTTCAGCCCTGAGTTCCTCAAGGCATCAGCATAATCATTTTACAACTAGAAATAGACAATATCCGTTAGAAAATCTCATTTTTCTGAGTGCTCTTGAGTCGCAACCATCCAGTGAAAAGCGTGCATGTGACTGATCTGCAGCTACAAAGAGACTTCCAATAGTAGGCATTTCGATACCCCTTGATCTCGATTTGTAACTTACGTGGCATGTATATCCTTCCACCAACTACCCCAGCCTTGAGAAATAAACATCTGTCATCTCATGTCAATCTTCCATTCAAATATAAGAAGGCTCCAAAAAGGGGGCTGCAATCAAGGCTTGTCTCTAGGGCTGTTGTGAGCGGAAGTCTTCGTGTAGATTGAAAGGATTGGACGAAAACTGAGTAACAAAGACATGTTACTATCAGTCTTCTGCAGAGAATTGAGTAACACTTCAACTTTATACATTGACGTGCTGCGTAGAAACACTCACGCAACACCGGTCATGGAGGCTTGAGACTTGGTGTGGTCCTCACCAGAGTAACAACCGCAATTGTGAACACTGCTTTAGGGTTCGGCAGCACATATCACAATAGTACTTGGGCGAGAGTCCAAACTGATCGAATAAACGCCCCGTCAGCTTTCAGTTCGGACACCAATCCAACAGCTCGCCGCAGACTCTGAACGAGGTCGGATCTTAAGTAAGAGGCGGATTTTGGGCTGTCAATCTCCTCGAGTATTCGCACCAAGAGGCTCGACGAGATCTGAGCTACCTTGCACATCGAATGCGGCACCAAGACTTCTTGCCTACACCCATGATATATATTTTGGGCGACAAAGGCAGACTCATGAGGCGTCGGGTCATAATGTCATTACCGGCCCTTTCAATGAAGAGTAGCATCTGCCGCAGAGAACTCTGATTTTGTGTACCTATATCCAGGTCAGCAGTTCAGATTCGACAGTGGCAGGTCGAGGCGATGCGACAGAACCGATCTGTGTGAGCGGTGCCCTGCCAGCGAGACAGGGGCTCAGAATTACGGCTACATGAAGGGTGGGTATATGGGGACCACCGCCAGCTGTTCTGTGATCTCAACCCCAAGGGGCTGAATATCGAAGATTTAAACAGCTTACACAGGCCAATGTAAAGACAGTACCACTCTCTCGTGAAGGGGGAATCAAATAATTGGAGATTTTTTGAGGGCCCAGCCCAACATTTCGTGAGGCATTGTAAAGCACGAATAAGACAATCCCGAGTGCTAGTGCTCTCTATCGGGAGTTTCGTCCGTGACCCCAGACGCACAATACGGTTAACCTGGCCTTTCGGCAAAGCCCAAGTTCAAGACGCGGGCGTTGTCATCGCTTGGACAACTGCGAGTTAGTGCAGTCGTGTGGGAAAGACCCCAACGCGGCAAGTATTGGCCGCTCGGTATTAAATCAACCCACAACAAATTTGGACCAGGGCCGCCGCGGAGTTGCTGTCACGGGACTATGATGGCAACATAATCTAAATGGCAGCATGCTGCCAGCTGAAGTGAGCAAGCCAGGGATCATTCTGGGGTCGGAGACACGGAGGTGCCTGAAGGTCAACATATCGCGGGGAAGCGCAAATTTGGAAATGGTCAAGGCTGCGTCTATGATGGATGAGGAAAGGGCTCTCCGAAGCCACGAGGGCTGGTCAGGAGTCGTGTCCAAGAGTAGTGGCTCTACGGCGGGGAAGCATGATCGTGACCTTGCAGGCGGAACAGCCACTGGAGTTTTCGGGAGATTGGTGATTGGAGAGACAGCAGTCTGGCTGAGAAGGTTGAAGCACAGCGCTTTCCACATAATCTTTCGACTTGCATGTGAAATACCCTACATGAGTCGTGTATCTGGCTCCATGAGCTATTGTGTTCTTTGTGTCCTCCAAAGTCTGTTTTTGTTGTTTCTTCAACAGGCGACTCTCCCTACATCCGGGAGAAACCCCATCACCCCCCCTGCTTGTTATCGGGGACCGGCCCCGCTGTTCCAGGGCCCGGGGATAGTGGTGTTCAAGATGGATTTGGGTCGAAGCCCTCGGGCACGTTTCGTCATCGCTCGTGTCTCATTGGAAGCAGGGTGAAGTAAATTTCGACGTCAAGCATTGAGGGAATATGCCCAGCGCAACTCCAGCGCAACTCCAGCGCAACGTGCATCAGGGAGGATCTACGGATGCATGCGAAGTGTCTAAACAGGCCAAAAGATGACATGATATTGCACACGTGCTCTTTTGACTTTCACATGCCAACTGACTAGACACGTTAAAGTTGAAGCTCACGATGCTACCCACACCTCCCAGGCACATACAGACACGGGCAACCACCAGATATCATCACACATCATCACATCGCATACAGGTTGAAGCGGCAGCCCAAGCCGCTTACATCAACTTTTGACAAGTCCGGTGTGCCGACGGGCAGGACTTCTCAATCCAGCCACGCGTAGAGTGCCCAATTCCGGCAATTTCAATGGCACATCACGCGGAGGTCACCGCTCAACGGTCCCAGCCTTCCCCCACGATGCGAACGACGAGCTTGCTTTTGTTCCACGCGCCCAGCTGAACCCCGCCAACCTTGGTTGTGCTCGGTGATCATGCCAATACGAGGTCTAGCTGGTATCCGCCCCCAGGGGCCACCCACGGAGCTCACTGCCCAATGCCGACACGCCTCCGCCCGGTAGTTTTGGCTTCCCCGCATCTCGGCGGCGAGCCTTTGGGCTACGAGTGGACTTGGTTGGCGAGGACACACCTTCCGTATGGCGCCTAGAAACAACGTTCATCTCTTCTTGGCCAGGTTTCTGGGCGGGTCAGAAGCGCGCGGTGGCCGTTGAAGAGGGGGGGGTTGCGATTCGAGGTCTCGAGCCAATTACGCCTAGCTCAACAACATCGTGGCTGGCCGGCTGGAGGCGGTGCGGATTGATCATTGCCTTTTTGGGCCACTTCTATGGCCACGGGACGATCGTGAGTAGCTTGCTTGGCGGAGCATCATCATCTGAATAGATGGCCATGTCCGCCATGCCGTGCAGGGTAGAGAAGTATAAAGATGAGAGAACATCCTGCTGATCATATTTGCTCCTTCTGGTTCCTCAGCTTCAGTTGCAGTGAGCAGTTTGAAGTCCCAGCCCCTGCTCCTCCTCCTCCTTCTCCCCGTCCAGTCTTTGGGATTTTCCTCTCATCATGAAGTTCAACGCAATTCTCCTGGCCCTCGTGCCTGCCGCCCTGGCTCTGCCCACCACCGACGAGGCGCAGACCCCCAAGCTCGCCGCGCGCCAGAGCATCACGGCCGTCACCGACAGCCTGTCCTTCTCCCTGACGCTGCCTCAGTTCACCACGCGCCGCAACAACCGCAACCCCGCCAACCTCGACTGGAGCTCCGACGGCTGCACAACGTCTCCTGACAACCCATTCGGATTCCCCTTTGTGCCGGCCTGCCACCGCCACGACTTTGGCTACCACAACTTCCGCGCCCAGACCCGCTTCACCGAGAGCAACAAGCTCCGCATCGACAACCAGTTCAGGACCGAGTAAGTTCACTTGTACTTGCCCATCACGCGTGACTCGCTGCTTACACGGCCTTTTCCACCTCGCCCCCCAGTCTGAGGTTCCAGTGCCAGTCTTCGAGCGTGCGCGGCGTGTGCAACGCCCTGGCGGACGTCTACTACTCTGCCGTCCGGGCGTTCGGCGGTGACGACGCCACCCCCGGCAAGAGGGACGAGCACTCGGAACTCGTCGCCATCTACGACGAGAAGGTCGCCATCTACGATAAGCTCGTTGCAGAGGCCCAGGCCAAGGGTCAGCTGTGGACCGTCTAGGAGAGAGAGAGAAGAGGCGGGGCCTCCCGATTCGGAGATGAAGGAGGGGCAGTGGACTGAAATGTTTCACGACTTGATGAAGCGGCCATGTTAGCTGTGTACTCTTTTTCTTTGTCCCTTTTAAAAAATGGGCCTTTTGGTATTTTTGTTGGGAATCGAGTATCATGACTGGCATGCCAGCTATTTTTCGGCTTGATTTCGCTTTCGCTCTCTTTCTCGGCGTGACGTGCTGGATGAGGATATATCATGAGTCGTGAAGTGGATTGGTGGATGGAGCTTGTGCGGTGAGAGCCCACTCAGCTAATTGTCCCGAAAATTGCTGTACTATGCGGATGTGCAGGCCATGCCGCCGGGTATTTTCTTTGGGGTCTCTGTAACGAGAAAAAGTTGTCATGTTGAGCAGTCTTGCGGTGCTGTTTCGCCCTGCCACAGCAATTCTGTCGCATGCGTAACGGTTGCAGGATGAGTGTAAGGGGAAACCGGGTCTCGTGCTTTTCTTTTGCCGTGTGTTTTATGCCATAGCACCTGTCAGATGAGCCATGCTTGACGTGTTTGGGTTACTTTGGCCCAGAAGTCATTCGCAAGTTGCCAGGCTCTCTGGTCCTTGGCCCAGCTAGATGGCCATCGGAGATACGTGGCACACAAACCATTTCATCGTTCAGGGCGATGAGTCGCGCGCTGAGCATGGCTAGCCAAAGTCCCTTGTTCAGAAAACGTGGCCCAGATCGCACGGCCGCAAGAGTCACCCGGCAAGCCATCTCAAGTATGGTCCGGGTCCGGGCTGGGGAAGCACGGCAAGCACCCCGAACATGGCTGGGTCGGGCTACAGGCCGCTGGCCATAGCTTTGGAGCCCGCTCGCCTGCGCCTGTGCAACGTGTCGCTGTTGGGGCGTCCCAAGGTTTGGGGCGCTTGACGGCGCTTGGCTGGTTGCCCCATTCCGGCACAGCTGGATGTGCCCACTGTCAGCTTCGTCAACGGCGTCTGACCACAGGCTGTCAGATGGTGAGGTGTCGATGAGAACCGGATAAGCTTAAGTACGCAGGAAGTTGCAGACCCTGGATATGGGTCTTTGACGATGCTTTCTTTCGATCCTCCATTGCTGATGACAGGATCTGGACTTTTCATTGCTGAATATGCAAAGACCTGTCGAGATACATCATCCTATGCGTCTTGCAAGATGATCAAGGTATCTCACCTTCTGTACAGATAGGACGTCTTGATCTGAAGCACACAACAGCCGGCATCGCAAGTTCCGGGGAAGCACAGCCTCTCCCACGTACAGGTGTCAAGCCTTAAATAGACGCTAAAATCTCATCCGCCTGCAGCGTCTCTGGCCCCCTGCAGATTCAAGGTGGGATGGCAGCAGCCAATCGTTCCTAGCCTTTCGTACCCCGATTGGCCCCCAACGCCCTGGAGCCCCCCCCTGAAGAGGCCCCCTAACAAGGGAACGCCCTAGAGCGCGCCATGGCACCCGGGCTTCTTATCTGGGCGTCGATTCTAATCTTAGCCCCTCGTGAGGCTGCACACCACAACACCAAGACCGACACGCCTCCTTGGCTCCTTTCTCCCACAACGACCCCTCCTTGGCTCCTTTCTCCCAAGACGACGCCTTGCCCTCCTAGCCACTCGCCCTCCATCCACCAACAATCATCCAGATCCAGATCCAGCCGCTGGACGCTAAAAGCTTACAGGTTCCCGCCACAATGGAGAGCTCTTTGACATCCGACCATCTCACTCTTGCGAGCTTCTTTCAGCTCTGCCTGCCACTGCACCTGGAGCACTTCAGACAACCCACGACAGCTTGATCCATCCATCCCCAGCTGCATCCCAATCACCAGATCCATCATATTCAACATCGCCATAGAGCCCGCTGCGTCACCATGAGGACATCCCTCAACACGGCCAATACTGTCCCGCGGCGTGGTAGCAGCGCCGTGCAGGACTCGCTCTCTCACGATGACATCCTCTTCCCCAAAGTCTTCGAAGACGCCTGGGGCTCTGACAACTCTACCGACAGACGCTCCGATCTCGAGCGCGCGCGCATCTTTCTCCTGCGCTTCGTGAAAATGTCTCCTGACACGAGGATCAACGCTGAAGTCCAGGCCATTGTCATGGACCACAACAACGCGACGATACCTGCCATTGCCAGCGCCATCCAGATGCGCCTCTTTGGCAACAGCCATGCCAGTTTTGCGACGACACCACTGATGCAGTGTGTTCGCTTCATGCTCATCAAGGCCCGTGTTCCCAGCATGGTCTTCTCCGAAAAGACCAAGACCATCATGGACTTCTTCTTCGACCCGTCCCTCGCCCGCAACCTCGATCCCTCACCTGCGAATCCCGTCGTCTACCGATACCCCGCTGCGCGACTCAAGGTCGCCATCGTCGGCGGCGGACCCACAGCTCTTGCTTCTGCCATCTCCCTCGCCGAAAAGGGCGCCGGCAACGTCGAGGTGCACATGTATGAGCGCCGCTGGGTGCAATGTACCGCCCCCGATGGCCGCTCCTACGTCGATTATCCCCCCACCGCCAAGCGTCGCGACCAGGTCGTCACGTTACAGGAATCTGTCACGACGCTGATGAGCAAGGCATCCCAGCAGGCCCTCTTTCAAGGTCGTCCTGAGCCCGTCTGGCCCGGCTCCGCCAACATTCAGATCCGCAAGGTCGAGGACCGCCTGCTGCAGCGGTGTCATGCGCCCGAGTTTGAAGGCCTCATCCATCTGCATCCCGAGGGGCTCTTGCGCGAGGACCTGCCCAGGATCGGCGACTTTCATGTCCTGCTGGGCGCAGACGGCGCTGCGTCGTGGGTCCGCAAGGACTACTTCCACGGCTACGAGAACGAGCGCGGCCGCAGCTATGCGCTGGGTCTCGCGTTTGACCGCCCGGCCGGCCTGCCCTGGTCCCAACCCCTCAATGTCTTTCTGACCCTTGGTCAGACCCGCTACCTCCTGAATGCCAGTGACTTTGACGGCCGTGGCTACCTCAACATGCAGCTGACAGAGGAGGAGTGGGACAAGATGGTCTCGGTTGACGGCAAATTCGTCACTTTTGGTAATCCCGGCTGCTTGAGACGGCCAGACGGCTCGGTGCCCAAAGGCTTCAAAGAAAGTCAGGTCTTTGCACCTTCTGAAGACCGGGAGAGTCCACTTTGGAAGTCAATCGAGGATGGCCTCAAACTGTTTGGCTTCAAAGAGAGCGAGGTCATCAATGTTGTCCGTATCCCCATTGTCGTGCAGGCCGTCAGAGAGGGCGTCCAGCTTCTTCCTCCTGCCGACTCGATGCTCATCAACCGGCCCCACGCCCTCGTGGCTGTTGCGGGGGATGCCGCCATGACCGTCCACTTCTGGCCTGGCCGTGGCCTCAATAGCGGCATCAAGTCCGGCATCGCCCTTGGCGACGAGATTGTTCACGCCCTCAACAGCGGCCGCTTCATCGGTCTGCCCCTCGACGCCATGAAAGAGTACAACGATTTCATCATGAAGCTCCAGGGTCGCGAGCACGACAAGCGCAGCATTCCCATCCTCAACCAGTCTGGCTCTCCCGAGATGCTCGGCTGGCTGCTGAGCAAGGCCCATACCGTACCCGACGAGGTGGCCATCGAGTGGCTCATCGGCGCCATGACCCAGATTGCCGACCGCCTGGAGCAGAGGTCCGACTGGGCGTTCCCGCCAGTGGCCAACGTCGAACCGCAGCTGCGCATCGTGCTGCGACAGCTCCACTCGGTGACGCTGCGTGAGATGGCCGTCAGCTTCCCCTGGCCGACGCGCGAGATGGGTGGCGCCGAGGTCCTGCCCATCCGGTCCATGAAGCCCGAGGAGAAGCAAAAGTGGCTGCAGCAGCTCTGGGGTCTGCTGAGCGCCGAGAAGGTCAGAGAGACAGGGCACAAGCGCGTCTCGTCGCGGGACAACTCGGCCCTCAAGTCGCCGTCGGCCTCGCGGTTCGAGGCGCCGCGCAATCCTGCATCAAAGGTGCCTCGCGCCCCATCGCCGTCGCCGCAATTCCTCGCTCCTGAACCCCAAGGGGCGGCGCCGCAGCGCACCGAGTCCCAGCTAAGGCGGAGCAATGCCGTGGGTAGGAGCCGCAGCAATTCTCGTGCCGTCTCGCCGGGACCCGCAGAGACGAGTCTCATGGTGCCAGGTGCTGGTGTCGAGTATCCGCTGCCCCTGAGACCGCGGTCGCCATCGGCAGGAGGCGATGTCAACCTGGGAAGGCTGCTGAGTGTGAGCAAGAGGCCTGGGAAGGGCGTTTTGTCAGATGCTATGTCGTTGGCATTATTCCGAGTGGACGGGTCTGATTAGATGTGCATCAACGTGGCTATGATCACATTGAGGGGCGAAAAAAAGTACAAATCAGGTCTTCACTGGGTCGGGGAACATTCGGACGAAAGCACATATCATTTTGTACAATCATAATCTCATACTATCCAGCATTCCGTCTTCAAGTGCTACGTCTACGGCACGAGGTCCATCACGTCGATCCACACCTTCTCTTCCCGAGCTGAGACGTTTCAAGAAACAGAAACCTGGTACGAGCTGGTCGTGAAGACGGCGTTGGACCCCGTGAACGGCTCCGTGCCAGCGCCGACGCTCTGCAGGATCTGGGTCTTCGGCAGGCCGTGGTTGGCCGCGAGGTAGTTGACAAAGGCGTACAGGTCAGCGTTGAAGCTGCGAATGTTGGAGGGCGCGACGAAGCTGAAGACGTTCATCTGGCTGTGGCTGCCCTGGTACAGCCTCCAGGTGGTGCCGGCAATGGTGGGGTTGGCAATGGTGCTGCCGGTGGCGCTGATGGGGCCGGCGCCGCCGAGGGAGCCGAGCCAGATCATGATCTCGTAGGCCGGCGCGCTGTCGGCCGTGTTGCCGGTGAAGAGGTCGTAGGCGACGTTGGCGACGAGGCTCGAGCCCGTGTAGGACCAGGACCACGACGACGGGATCGACGACACCTGGCTCAGCGGCCGCTTGGTAATGGCCAGCAGGGCGTTGGGGTACGACTTTACGTTGTTCTGGCCGCCGGCCCAGCTCCACGACGTCGACCACGACACGGCGTTGCCCGACAGGCCCGAGAGCGTCGTGCACTGCTGGCCCGACGTCGCGGAGCCCTTGCCCCAGAGGTTGTTGTACACCGTGTACGGCCCCGCGACGGCGCTGCCCCAGTCGTCGCAGAAGGTCGAGGACTGGCGGGCGCTCAGGGGCGAGGTCAGGGGCGAGGCCAGCACGGCGAGGGGCAGGGCGAGGAGGGCTGCGACCTTCATGGTGGCTATCTGCGGGTGATCTTGGAACGAGGCCGAAGCAAAGTGAAGAGGGAGGAGAACAACGCTGGATTGGGTATCTGACTCGAGTGCCTGCTTCTCTTGGTAGTAGATGGTGAGTCTTTCTGGTGGACGATCTGGTCTTCTTATATGCTCCATGGATTCGATGGTAAGGCGTCTTCACTCCATGCCCAGGCGTCTTAGACGTCGTCATCGCGCAAAGGTGGCCGGTGTCCCATCGCCGCACGCAATCCGCAACACCGAGGAAGGATATCATCTGATTCCTTGCCTCGCATCAGGCCCCGCCCATCCACGATATTTCCGCACAAATCACCGCCACGCGTCTATTCCCACGCGTCGAGAGCACGACGATCACATCCCATCCCGTCGCCTGACACGAGTCCGCTGTACCCCGGACTGAGCCGACCCCTGCCCAGATCGACAACTACCGAGCCGCTCGTGGGGTAGTCCCGGCCAAGAGATGCCGCAGTTGTCGTAGTGGTCGTCCGGGGGGGCGCGGGGTGTGGAGGCGGCGATTGGCGGAACAGACAAGAGATCGTCGGTATTGACTGCCGGGTAGGTGAGATTGTCAGGGACGGAGGGCCTGGTTCCGTTTTTAGGGTAGACTGTGGGTTCTAAGTTTTCTTTAAACTGGAGGAAACATGGCATGGAAAAAGATCGAGTCAGTGAATCTACGATGACTGAGGGGTAGGATGATGAGAATGTGCATGTTGGGATGGCTAACGGTATAAGCGACGGGTCGACGTCACTCCTGACCGGCAGCGGGTAGATAATCTATACTAGGTACTCTGGCGCCAAACATCCGCTCCTGAAGGCTCCCACAAAGGATTTGGAATATCCGCCTGGCAGAGACATACCGGCTGGGAGGTTTGGGATTGGCGGTCCGAATGATAGTGTCGTTCTGTACATATAGCTTACGTCAACGGTGATATCAATGATGCTGCTTGGACAATATCGTGGGATGTCAAAAAGCCACACAGTTGCGTGCGCTGCCCGCAACTCCCTCTGAAAATGCTATGATCCGCTAAAGATTTACTCAATCAGCGGCACATCTGATGGAGTCTCATCAGACATTCTCATGCAAGATGATAATACGGAGGGTGCCTGGCCTTGGACTCCTGGTCGCACGCGTATGACACGCTCGCAAAATGCAACCATGACAGTTCAGGGCCGTATCCATGCCCTGACAATGGCGCCGACTGCTTCGGGCTGATCCCAGGGGGCCATGTGGCCAGCTTCGTCCACCAGAAACAGACTGAGGCGATTATCGCCCTTCCATTTCCCTCCCTTCTTCCCTTTATCAGCGAGTCCCTCCCGCGCTATTTCGCCGTCGGCATAGTGCCAATCCTTGAATGCCTGTTGCCTGTACCAAGCTTGGCGAGCCCAGGGTTGTTCATCCAGCATCCTGATCTGCCCGGGCGAATTTCTACAGGATATACCAAGTTAGACGTCGGTCTTGGAAAGGTCACGACCGGCGGCGACTTTGACTCACATGATCATGTCCTCATTGCCATTGATGAAGAGAACGCGAATATTTGTTTCGTCAAGAAGCCACGTCAGTTCCCGCGTAGTCGGCAGGAAAAGATGGCCGTCATCTTCCCACCTCTGGTTGGCGTCCATGTCAATGAGTGAGAAGGACTTTCCAGGGTACCCAAGTCTCTCTAGAACCCAAGGCTTATTCAGAAACTCCCTTGTTGGTCCGCCCTGCAGGTCAGAGCAGAGTGGAGGCGTTTCGCATGTCAGTCGGCCTGAGACAGCGTTAACACGAGTACTACTTATCATGCCACGAGGAAAGCACTTGAGTACTAGAAATGGACTGACCATCATAAGGATTCCAACCTCCGGACTTTACGTTGTTCCAGAAATATTTGGCCACCGTGTCGTTGCAGTGCGACGTGGCCAGAGTGCAAACCTCGACATCATAGGTATCGCGGCAGAGCGCTCCCTTCTTCTCGCAGCTCGGAACACCAGCGACCATGGATTCGCACTCTTCGGGGTCGAGAAGGGGCTTACGACCATCACCACGCCAGTCAAGACAGAGATAATCGTAAAAGCCAGCCGCACTTCTGGAGTCATCGATGTACCCATCAACAATAATTGCTGTGGCGATATTGAGCGGAATGGCCTTGCTTTGAATGGCTCGTTCTCGCTGCTGCTGGATGATGTACTGCGTGTATCCAGTAACATAATGGCCTCCCATTGACTCACCGGCGATGTGCCAAGTCTTGTCGGCTGTGTCAGGAAAGACACGGGATGTAAAAACCGAGAGAAAGGCGTAGAGATCGCGACCTCCCTGTTCCAGTGTGACTGCCATCAGATCTCGGTCACTGATTTCCGAGAACCCCACGCCCACTGGCTGGCTGGTTTTGGTCAGCGGAGAGGTTTCGAATTCCGTTGCATAAGATGCTACTCACTCAATGAAAAGCACGTTGGCCTTGTCCGTCCAGGAGAATGGCCGCTTCGATGTAGAATTACCATCTAGGTTCACTTGACAAGGTCCACTATCTTTGAGGATGCCCAATTCGCCGGTTGCGCCAGGGCCCCTAGAATAATCAGATGGAAAGAATACTCGCCCACACAGCGTAATGACCTACCCGCTCATCCACAACAGTACTGGGTCCGTCTGTGGGTGGCTACGGCTTTCGAAATACCCTTCGTTAGAGGATCAGCAAGGGCGCCTTCAACGAGCCGTTATCGAGCACTGACAGAAGGACAAGCTCTTGTCGTTTGTGATTGGGACCAAACCAGTCCAGTGTCGCGACCCGGCATCGCAAAGGACGTCGGTCTGTTCGCGTAGATTGAAAGTCGGTAGATTGGCAACGAGAGGCTTCTGACTTGAGGCACAGAAACCAAGTGCAAAGAGGCTCGTCGCCTGCAGGGCGAAGACTGTAAGGTCTAAACGTGACCGCATGTTGTGACTTTGCGGCAGATGTGACGTTGAGCAGTTGTTTCCAGAATGACGCTCACCAACTCATCCGATCTGGTTCACTAAAAAATCATCCACCTGCTTATGATAAGGAGTCTAGTGGCGCCCTACTTTCAATGGTATTGAGAATCAACAGTGCCGTATACCCGAGGCTCGTACGCGCCGCGTGGCACGAATAACCTAAAACGGACATGTGGACCACTTACACCACATCTGGTCAACCACTAGATCTTCAGAATCGAAGGCTCCTGAATTTGTGGTCATTACGGCTACCTCTTTAACGGATACCCGGCGACCAACGCGATGAAGTTCAGCACTATATTGAGTGCGCCCAACTGTCCGGTTGCCAATGCTGCAGTGTCATTTAAGCCTGTCGCTGAGAAGAAGGGTTACCAGCCTTCAGTATCCGACTTGCCAACGACGCCTCCAGCGTCTGTAACAGCTTTACCCCAGGCACGGCTGGGTTTCTGGCCACAGATGACGGCCACACCGCGACATTCTTCTAGCTCCATCAGAGCAAACACGGGCCTGCAAAGGTCTCATTCTCTGGATGACCGCGTACGTCGAATTGCCACGCGAACAACGTTGCTTGCTCACACACGCTGTAGAGGCCCGGGGGAGGATATGATTCAGCTAGGCCCATGCTGGATCGCTGCAGAACGGTGCACAGTGAACAACCCCTTAAGCTGGAACGATCGAGCCAACCTACTCTTCGTTGAGTAAGTCTACGAGATGCAGGTGCGCAGTGAAGCCCCGGTAACACAACTAACGTCACTAACCACCTCAGTCAATCAGCAGGTGATTGATTCATTCTCTCGTCTCGACGAAATTTTTGATGGCCTCTCAAGATCCTCGCAGCCGATGAACCGCTTCCTGCGTCAATCTTTTATTGGCTACCCGGAGTTCGTTGGGCGAGATTTCTACATCGCTGGGAGTCATATGGCGGTTCCTGGGTTCCCGCGCTGGCAGTTGACATTCTTCGTGCGCAAGATGAACCAGCAAGAGACTTCAGCTCCAGCATCGACTTTGCAGAACAGATGCCACTCATCAATCCGTCAGCACCTCAGTCGGGCGACTACCACCAACCTAAAGGGCAACATGATCATCAATGGTCTGGTTCGACAATCTGTCCAAAATTCAGCCGTAATTGAAGCAGCCTGGTATGGGGCAGCAGGGGCTTTCTCGAGTGAGAGATGTCATGAATTTGCTCCTCTTTCTCCATGGTGCAAACAGAATCTGCCAGTGTGTGAGACGAAGGATTGGCTCACCAAAGGGTGTCTCTACGCGCAGAAAAAGTGCGGAGGTCTCACTAGTGTAGTCCTCGGCGAACTCACCGCAATCCTTTCGACTGGCGCAGGGAGGGCAAAGAAGACCCTGCGCTATGCTACCGAGAGACCAGTCTCTTTGGCGATTTCCTCAACAGGTCTTCTGTGAATCAGGCATTGGACTTTCCTGAAAACTTAGCCTTTGAAGCAATGTCCTGCGACGTTTTCGAGCAGTGGCAATCAGTAGGCGATCTTTGGAAGGCAAGCCACGGGTACGTGGAAGATTTTTCAAGCAGAGTAAGTGCTTCACCTAGACCGTTAACCACCAGTGTCACCACGAATACTACTACTAAGAGTGTGCGAGCTCTCATCTACATCAGCGACAAGGATTGATTCTGCCAAACTGTCAGTACACGAAGACGCCCTAGAACCTTAGGCAGCATCTGCAAAATGGTTAGTAAAGCAACAATTGCAGAAGAAGCTGGCGGGATCTCTTTTCTTGAGAAACTAAGAAGGGCGAAGAAGCCATCAGATATAATGAACCCGGCGAATCTTGGAGGTGAAGATAATTGGTTCAAGCTTGTCTACGGGAGGGAAAGTTCTCGGTTCTGTTCTATGTCTTCCGAACCCCAGATGGTAAGGCCTTCCCTAGCCTGCCAAACCCAGGAGTGAGAGCTCACGCAATGACCCATCTTCACAGTTCCCTCGTGCACTTGGCTACCAAATAAGCCCTGTAGACGCTTGCGCTGCTTCACACATATCCGCCACCTGAAAGCCAGATATTGAGATCATAATTCATGCCCAATACGCCGTCTACGCCCTCGAATGCCACCCCACCACTGGATTGCTAACCTTTCCCCATCTCAGGCAGCCCGTGGCGTCGCCACTTCATTCAAATGATCAATCAACGGCTGCAAGAACCCCGTGGCAAGGGCCCTCGGCAACAGCTCGTAAACGACCCTGTCACCCCCCAAACCAGCACGCCCGCGGCCTCCCATCATTATAAGCTCTCCCGTCAAACTGCGGATCGAACTTGGTGCCGGCCAGGTGGCGCCCGAAACAACCGGCGCAGACCCACACGCCCGGCATGTCGGGATGGCTGTACCACGTCGCGGGGAAGGCGTAGGTCATGGGCGCCGCGAGGCACGCCGTCGTGTCCGTCTCGGGCGCGTCGTCCATGATCGGGACGAGGGGCAGCTTCGGAGGCACGGCGGGTGGGCTCAGCGGGAGGATGTCAACGGGCGGTGAAGGCTCGGCGTAGTCGTCCGGGTAGTGCGTGATTTTCAGGGACAGGCGACGGTGATCGAGGCTGTCGATGGAGGGGTCGGAGCCGTTCCAGCCTGCGGAGGAGATTTCGAGCTCGGAGAGAAGCTCATCAATGTCGTCTACCAGCTCGTCGCGCTCGAGAGGAGGTTCGAGCGCGGGCGCGGGCGAGGGTGAGGATTCGCCGCCATCAAGCTCTGATGGAGCGAGGGACCAGCGCGGCGACGGCGCTCTCGGGGCCGCGGTCGCGGGAGGTTCGGCCGGCGGTGAGGGCATCGTTGAGCACCGCGACGATGGCGCGCACGATACAGGTCTCGCGGGTGTCTCATTTGGCGGCGAAGGCGGTGCGAAGCTGACTGGGCTTGCGAATATGGACTCGGGACTCACACAAGACACAGAGCGAGGCCTCTCTCGCGGAGCGGGCGGCGACAGTGAAGGAGACGGCGGCACGTAGCTGTGGTACGTCGTCGGTCCAGGGCTCATGTACGACATCGGCCTCGGTCTTGGCGCGCTGGTCTCTCTCAGTGGTGGTGACGAAGTGTACGGCCTTGGCGGCAGTGCTGGCCGTACGACTTCGGCGCTGACCGGCCTACCCCGCAATGTCTGCGATGTGTCCATGCTGTTGTTGGAGCTCACAGGGGCACCGGCAGGGACAGACTGCCGGCGCTGGTTGCCGTGCGCCCATTGCAAGGGCGAAGTGTCCCACTGCTCAGGGCCGGCTGGGCGATAGGGCATGTAGGACACTGGGCGCGGCGGGAGGAGCGGTGGTGATGGGAGGCCGGTCTGATCGGGTCGTTTTGGGCTCCGCGGTGGGAGGGCTGGTGGTGTGCGGGGATTATACCACATGGCCGAGGATGCAAATGGTCTGCTCAGAGAACAAGCTGTTGGTGAGGCAGATACCGAGGATGTGTGCTCACAGGCAATGCGCCAACATTCGGCGCCTTTGAGGAGATGTTCGTAGAATTGGTGAAGCCGGTGAGGATTCTCCGAGTGGCTTGAGATCCGTCTCGTGACAAGGCATATTCGACTGCCGGACTAGATGCGGCATCCTCCAGTGGGCGTTGGGTACAATGAATCAGGGCTGAGAGCACCAAGCCAAGCGCCAGGCGAGGGCGTCTTCAGCCTCACGCCGCCGGCTGAGATGAGACGAGACATGGCGCCCATTTTCTTGTCTGGATCGCGACGGAATGAATCGCCATAGTTATGTATGTCTGTCATTTCATTCGAGGAGTGAAACAGCTCAGTCCCTCATACCGCCGACAACACGATAGCACGCCGAAGACCCTCAGGTCTCTCAGGGGCGAGAGCATACCCTTCCCTCCCTCAGCAGCGAGGTATTTGTCGCCTAAGAAACCCGCTAACCGCCATGATGCATCACGGCAATCAAATCCCCTTGCTCGTCCCCCCACATCACAACCGACGAGCCCCTCCCAAACCCACCCCCGAGCCCACCCAGATCAAGCACGAAGCAAAAAGCCAAAAATGAATTGCCGCTACACGGAGTTGAACCGTGGACCCCCGCATGTCGGGATGGTACGAGTGCGATGCTCTAACCACTGAGCTATAACGGCTTCGATTCATGCGTTGTCGGCTTGGAAGTCAACGCCATGAGGTCTGGGGACGTGAATGACGACCAATCCTACCAGTCCTCCCACCTTGACGTTTCCCAGACATGTACATCGGCAAACTCAGTGCGTGAGTGTTGTATGCGATTCATTTTCTAGGAGAATTCGGGGTTGAACTCTTGTATGAGGACAGCAGCGACTAGCAACGAGTTCATAACCTTGGGCAAAACACGACAAACGCTTACTCGAATGTAACGAATCGCTGGCGTTAGAAGACTCGCACAGATGCAGAATAACAGAGAAAACCAATTCGAAAACTCGATTCCCCGCTCGTATCGCTCTCTACCTCGCCGGGTAACTGCCACCATCCAGTTCTGCCCCGTGGTACGGGTATGGTCCTGATCCCATGAGCTCCGGCCTCGGCGACGTGTCGTCCATCTCGATATGAGCCGGCACAGCACTCCCCTTGGCCGGCGTTCCCGCTACTGTGCTGCCCCAGTTCGAAGGGGACGATGAGCTTGTCGTCATTGTTGCAGTCCCGCCATGCGTGGACGGCGGCATTTCGGCTGGTAGCATCATGTGTGCCTCCTTCTCCCTCTCCGACCCTTGGTTGGCGTTCCTCCGTCGGCGGCGCACGAGAAACCATGCGAGGAAGGCCACAAGCGCAATGCCGGCGACACCACCCACGACACCGCCAGCAATGGCCCCCACCGGCGTTGAGCTGTTGGAAGACTCGCCGTTCGCACTGCCACTGTTTCCATTCCCATTTCCACCAGAGGTACCCTCTTCCGACTCCTCCTCCGAAGAGGCGCTGTTTGCGAAGAGCTTCTGCACGTTGTCCGAAGACCACTGCACCTTTTGGAGACCACTGCATTTCTGTCGTCAGCTCAGACCCTTGGATCATCTCCCGATCAAGCCAGCACTCACCCTTCATCATACCACGCCTGCACCTCGGCCGGCGATTCATACGCACCAGCGTCGGCGTCGAAGGCGTCTGTCCACTTGAGTTTCGTCATGTCAAAGATGCCCAGTCCCTGTGGGCGCGGATCAGTGTCCTCCCAGATGGCAGGACTTCCCTTGTTATCGTCAACGCCTCCGATACTGATCATCTGGCGGTTGCCGGCGACAACGCATGCGTGAGCGGTGCGAGATCCCTTGGCTTCATACTCGGCCTTCGTCCAGACGAATCCCGGAAGGCTGAGGATGTAGACATCGTCAAAAGCGGCCTTGTTGGCCTGGTTTCTACCGCCGTGGACCACGCTGTGGTGAGACCCGCGTCAGTTTCGGCCACAACCGGTTACCCGTCACGGTTCATATTGGCAGACTCACATTTCATAGGTTCCGTTTGTTGACTCAGCGCCGGCGACGCAAAACCATTCACGGCGAAGGGGAGCTTCGCCCGAAGTCGTCTGGGAGTGCCACTCGCGCGTGACGGGGTCGAAGAAGGTGAGATTCTGCATATCAAGGTAGCCCATCGAGCCCGAGCCCGTCATATCCCATGCCGCGCCGCCGATGAGGATGACGATGCCGTTAGGGCCAAAGGTAGGGACGTAGTGTGCATCGCCGCCGTACAGGGTTCCGTAGGATGACCAAGGACTGTTCGTTTCGTTGGTCCATGACTTGGTCGTGAAGTTGAACGAGAGGTAGCCCGGCACGTAGCCTCGGGGGCCGCCAGACGTGCCCGGGGTCTCGAGACCGCCGAACCAGAACGCGGCGTCGGGTGTGCTCACGTAGGCGCCGCCCTGGGAACGCCTGAGGCTCGTATACGTCGAGGGGTTGCCAGGTGTTTCGGGGTTCCAGGTGCCGCCTCCATCGCCATCAGAACTGAACCTCCAAAGCTGGTTTGTCGGAACGGGTGCGGCGTCGTACGGGACGTGGCCGCCCCAGATGTAGAACGAGTTTGACGCCTCGTGCGTGAAAACGGCCTCTTTCACCATGCCCATGACAGGCTTGTCAATCTCCGTGATCTTAACCTCCGCCGGCTTCCAGGAACGCGTCAGCGGGATCGAGAGGGTAGCGTTAGCTATGTTGGTATCACGTCAGCATATGCATCCGCAGCGCGAGGAGAGCGCTCGTGGGTGTTGCAAACCTCCGTTGGATGGACGTTGGGTTTTCTCGCCGTTCACCCATTGTGCGACTTCGCCGCCATCGACAAACATGTAATCCCCGAGGACGGTCGCTTCTCGGTCGTTAGCCCAACGAGCCTTTGAAGACATTCTGCGACGATTTCCTACCTCTTGGGTGCCATCTTCGCTTGAAATCCTTTGGCGCAGGCGAGGAGCGAAGACCATTATCATCGTCATTGTCGCCTTGACCGATAGCCCAGCTGGACATTGACAAGAGCAGGCTGCAAGCCAGCAGCATCCTGCTTCTCGACATCAAGACCATGCTGATTTGTACCGATCAAAAGTCCGCAAGTAATCGGTCTGTCGTATAGAAAGGCGCAACGTGCGCGTGCTGTGGCTTGGTTGTCTATTTGTTGTGTACCAGGCGTCAAGCTCCTGTACCAGAGATGAAGACTTGAGACGATGAAACGCCGTGTAGGACAAGAGGGCCGCCTCGGTCCCGAGAAAAGCAGGATGAAAAGACTGAAGGCCCGAGCCAGACGTCCGATCAGCATTGTGCCGACCCTACAAGGCAAGCAGCACACCGTTCCACTAGGGATATCCATCTTCATGGTCCCTCTCTGGACCCTCCCCCCATGCTTCATTACGACAGCGTGCAGCAGAAGTGGCCTCGCCGACACACATCCGATGCAGCCTACGATCCTTTGCGCAACAGCAAGCGAGGGACTTTGGCGAACCAGTCTTGCCAGGGCAGCAGCGCGGGCGGTTAACGTGCGAACAACCCTGGCGAGAAAGAGGTCGTCTTGGCGACGATCCTGGCGGTTTGGGGGCCAGTCGCCTTGGTCGATCTCTGGTTGATGGATCGCCCTTCTCGTTTGGAGCAGCCCCTTACGGGGGACGGTCCGCCGTAGGGGTGGAGTGGCCATGGGGCCGCCAGGGTGGTGCTCAGCCTTATTGAAGCGCGGGTTGACTGTTGGGGCGGGGGCGCGACAGCAGACAGTGGAGCCTGACGAGATGAAGATGGGCCCAGCATGGTGTCGAGCAAGTCGTTGTTGTTGTCCTGGCGGATCTTCCTCGCCGACATTGCCGTGTCTTTGAGTGTTGCCTTTTGCTGTGCTCGGGTGCTGGTATGTACTTGGCGTGCCTGTGCCAAGTCGAGATCAAACGAGCCCAAGACGCCTTCATCTTAAAGATATTTCCTGCTCCGTCTCGAATGAAATGCTGCTGCTGCTGGTAACGGGGACATGCCTCTTTGATTCAAGCTATGGACCAAGTCAGCCTGCGTCTGGTAATCTCTCCAGCCAAGATGACTGGCTGCAGGAAGCATCTCGAGGCGACACACAGACGGGTACGCGTATCGCAGAGATGGCCACTGATCAATCAGGCGCCAGGGTTTTTGGTAAGCGACCTGAGGAACCCTTGTCGCGGGTATTGGTGCTGTTGGGGGGCCAGATGGAGTTGGTCGTAGGCGGCCAACTGGTTGGTAGGTAACAGCAATGGGCGGTGCGTGTGGTGTGGTTTCGGGGTCGAGGGCTTGAGGCCCGTTGGGTTGGGTGGCTCAGAACAGCACAGCCTCCTCCCCAGGCCCGGGTGGCTGGCTGTTGGGCCTCGGTGGCTCACGACGGTTCATCGACAGTCACACCAGGCACAATTGCTGAGGTCATACGTGGCTCGAATAAGGGTATTGTCATGTGTTGAATCCGATCTGCTGGGCTTAAGGCTGAGCCAGAGAGGCATTGTCGCGAAACAACCTCCGGCCCGTCTCAGTGTGACCAGGCGAGATCCGCAGTGTAACTGGTCGATCTCGTATTCTACGACGCGCCAACAACAGACGCGTGGCAGCTTAAGCTTAAGACAACGACAACGCAAAGGGTTGTCACTGATGGTTTTTCATTGCTGTTTATTTGTGTGCTAGTGCTATGAGTAGTTCCTCAGGGACCCAACCTTCCAAATTGGCAGAGTGCAAGTCAAGCAAACTGTTCATCAGACCTTTAGTCTTCTCACAACGGTACTTGTCGCGTCAAAACTGGACACTCATGGCTCTTTTCCACTGTAATTCTCTCCCCTTCCATGCGGTGAAACCCATAGGCTCTTGTGCTCGCTCGTCATCATTCTCAATCGTATCTCACACGTTAGCTACCACCTCTAGTCCGGCGACACGCTTCAAATTATATCCCACCTTCGTCGTCCCGAGTGGCTATATTCATCGCCAACATCGCTGTCCGTCTCACTGCCGGCGCGGAGCCAGTTGATGGCACCAAACCGGCCGTTCGGCTCGATCGACGCCGTGGGCACCGAGATCGAATACTGAATCGTCACCTCCGTGTGCTCGACGCCTTCGTAGTAGAAAGCCTCGGACCGCGGACCGCGGATGAAGTGGACATCGCCGATTCTCTCGTCGGCATCGTCGCGCGCGCGCTTCAACAGCTGCTGCTCCTGTGCCTCCCTGTCCTCGCGCTTGCGTTTGCCGTCGCGTGATGGGTTCAGAGGTGCGGGCGGGACAGCAGCGCTCGGTGGTTCTCCCGGCCGTGGCACATTGTACTCAGAGCGGCTTGCCATGGACAGACGCGATGGTGGGGCCACAGTATGGACCAAGCGAGGGCCCCCAGAGCGATGTCCCCCGAAGCTGAAAGGGTTCGGAGTCGGAGGGCGGGCATTCCTGTGGGCTGGAGGCTGATATAACCTCGCGCCGGCGGTGGCAGGCGCAGGCGCGGCACCGAGGACACTGCGAGGGGCTGCACTGTGTGGAGGAACAGCTGGCTCATGGCTGGTACCATGAGCAATGCCGCGTGAGCCGCTATTGTGTCCGGGCTCCGTACGATCTCGATTCTCCGTGCTGCTCTGTGCCACGGGCGTTGCGCTTCGGGACGACAAATTACCGCGAGAAGCAGTTAATGTAGTGAAAGCCTGAGGGGCCTCCCAACCGCGATAGAGTTCATTTAGGTCCTGGCGTTGCTGATATAGCCCAGGTTGATATCTGAAAGGCGATGACTGGTTGGTCTCAGCCGTAGTTGGTGTTCCCAGCGGGCTGTCAAAAATGCCATTGGTGTTTACTGGAGTTGGCACTGACCGAAGGGGCGAGGAGATCGGCGGCACATATGAAGGGCGATGCGGAGCTTCGTTGAAACTAAAATTGCGGCGAAAGAATGATGTGTCCTCGGCCATGGTGCGGGCATGATCACGTCCACCCGATGGGAAATCGTCGGTGAAGCAGGAGTTGCCGGCATGTGGTGATCCAAGGCAAGAGCAGTGACCAGGTTGTTGACGGTCTCCACCGCCTGTGCTGTTGGGAGTCGGGCAGTCCCTGCTAGGAGTCGACATTGTTTCGCTGCGATCAGACGGACCGTCTGGCATTGAGTGACTGTAGTCAATCTGTCGATGGAGCAAATTTGGCGAGAGATTAGAGTCAAGAGGAAAATTGGACGAATGGAGAGGAGCGAGAGTGCTCTTTATAGTCCTGGGAGCAGAGAGACTGGTTGTAAACATGGTTCAGGACCACTATGGGTATCGCCAGATCGGTGTAGCGATGGCTGTACTGTGGAAACTCTACCAGTGGTACAGTCTCTAACAGGGCCTCTCCTAGCTTTCATCAATTTATCCATCTGACTAGAGTTCTCCAAGATGGCTTTAATGTCACCCGCAAGGCTGTGGAGAATGACACCCGCGGAAGATCAACCCAAAGTGTGTGTGTGTGTGTGTGTGTGTGTGTGCTTGCGAGTGACGTTTGGATATCGGAGCAAGCTTGCCGAGCACATCGCTATTGACTTCGGTGGTACTTTTTGAGGTCCCGCCTTGGCTGTTATGATGGCTGAGGCCAGCATTGACTTGACCTGAATATTGGCGGTGGACGCTGATACTCAGGGGGGGCGAGAACGGTATCGACGAAGGCTTCGATTGGCCTCTGGCTTGGGATGGAAACCAAGGCTTCCTTCAGCCACGAAAACCACGAATTATTCCTTCCTGAATTGGCTTCCTCGTCGGCTGTGTCAGCTTGGCTCCGGAAACAAGTCACGCGTCTGCTCATCACCGCGCCACTCGCTGGCCACAAGGGCTTTTAAATAAGAAGACTTTCTCCACTGGATGTCCCTTGCGTAGCTTTCTGGAGTGGCTTCAGATCCAGGGGAATTTTTTATCAAAGTGTGAAGGCGATGTCGAATGCGTAACATGGCCAAGATGATTGTCGTCAGGGTGTGAAATGTAATGGCCCTGTCAGGAAATGGCGCTCGTGGCGCGAATATGGGCATTTGGTTCATTGAGGTTTGGTGGAAGGCCTGTCTCTATCAGCTGACCCTTCTTTCCGTGATTGCTTGTCCTTTCTCCACTGAGTCGGAGGCAGCGCCCGTCTGACGGATCTGGCGCAGGATGTCGTGACAGCTTTGGTGAGTACGAGGCGGAGGAATTCGTACCCTTGCTCCAGGAACCATAAACTTCTCCGATGGATGACCATGCCTCTTGAGTCCTTGATGGGATTGATGTACAGCATCTTCTTAGATAGGGCGCTTGATGGGTGCCCTCGCGCTGGCACTGCACCCGACAGTGGCATGCAAGTCGTGCCTGGGTCTCTCCATCAGTGAAGCCTCGTACTGGCTCATCCACCGAGATGAGGAAGCATCGAGCTACGTTTGACGGCCCAGGCACAACGTCCCGTCGTGATTGCGAGAAAGGATAGGAAGGCCATCAGCACGAGCGTCTGAATTGCTTCCAAAATATTATACCTTGCGACATTCTCTTTGCCACTGTTGCAGCGACACGTGCAGCGACAGAAAAGGCTCAGAGCTTGCCTACAGCTTTCCCCTTCCCGGGCGCAGCCTCGAACTTGGCCTTCCACTTCTCGTCCTGCTTGAACATGGAGGCGCATTGCAGCGCGTTAGGGTTGCCAAACTCAGGGTCCGCCCCTCCCTCGAGGAGAGCCTGTTCAATACGTCAGCGAGAGCGCCCGGAAAAGACGAAAGAGTCTTACCTCGATAACGGCATCTTCCATCTTGAACACGGCGCCAGCAAGGGGACTCTGCCCCTTGTCGTTCAGCCGATTTGGGTCGGCGCCATGCTGCAGGAACAGCTTGACGAGCTCGGCGTGGCCGTAGTACGCAGCAAGCATGAGCTGATCGGTAGTTTTCACGCGTCAACGACCGATGCAATGCTTAGGGGGGGCTTCGAAAAAGAGGGGGGCAAATGGGATGATGGTTCCTCCTACCAGGCTGTCTCCCTTTTCGTTGGTCATGTTGACGGGCAGGCCGGCAGGGAGGGCCTGCGCGAAAACGGTAGCGTCGCCGGAGCGAGCGGCATCGTACATACGGCCGGCAAGCTCGATAGCCTCGGGCGGAAGGGTTGTGGCGGAGGGATCAGTCATTGTTACCGTGCTGCCGATATGCCTGCATTGGTGTTAGTCGGCGGCACGCGAGTGTGGGATTGTGAGACGTGATGAGACGTGCAACTGACGTGAAGATGGGCTTGTGTTGTCTGTGCAATCCAGATGTTAGGGGCGGAATGGCATTTGGATGGCGCTGACCTCTACGAACACCTAGAGGCGGAGGATTTGACACCCTTTCGACCTGCGTCACGGCCCCCGCATCACAAGCCCCAAAACCTGCATGCAGCATGCAGCAGCTCTGGATTGTGTGCACCGTCCTCACCGAGACCGTCCACCGAGGACCACCGAGACTTGTTTGACCTCGGTGAATTGGCGGCAACAAGGCAAAGCCGCTACCCCACTAGAACCCGCTGAAAACCGAGGGCGCTGAACGTCATCAGCACGCTCTGTTGCCATTTCCCAAGACTCGTTCTCGCGGCTCAAACGTTGCCTCTTCCCCCCGTCCATTGATCCTCTCAACCCTTCTTCCCATACTCGAAAATGCCTCCTCGACTCTCTCTCCGCGTCTCCCTGCGTACCGTCCAGGCGGCACGCTTCTACTCCACCGCCACGGCTGCCGATTCGGCGGCGCCGCTCATAACCGTCACACACCTGCCGGCCCCCGGCTCTGGCCACATTCGCGTGCTCGAGCTCAACCGTCCCTCGGCGCGCAACGCCATCTCCAAGGCTCTGCTCGCCCAGCTGCGCGCCGAGATTGACAATGTCCACGCCCAGTACGACGAGGGCGGCAACGAGCTGCCTCCGCGCAAGGTCTTTGGCGGCGCCGCCGGCGTCGATGCCAAGGGTCCTACGCGCGCCGTCATCCTCGCCAGTGCCGTCGACACGAGCTTCTGTGCCGGCGCCGACCTGAAGGAGCGAAGAGGCTTCACTCAAGAGGAGTGAGATCACCCCCATCTTGCGTCAGCATGCCTCGGCCAGACGCCGGCTGGCATTGGCTTGCTGCAATGCACTGAGGAACCCCCCCCCCTAGCTGACAGCATTTGCTTGACAGGACCAATGAGTTCCTCACAAACCTGCGCGCGACATTCACCTCCCTCTCGACGCTCCCCGTGCCCACCATCTCGGCCATTTCCTCCGTCGCGCTCGGCGGCGGCCTCGAGCTCGCCCTGTCGACGAGCATGCGCGTCCTCTCATCCAACGCCATCGTCGGCCTGCCCGAGACGCGCCTCGCCATCCTGCCCGGCGCCGGCGGCACGCACCGCCTGCCGGCCCTCATCGGGCTCTCGCGCGCCCGCGACCTCATCCTCACGGGCCGAAGGGTCTCGGCCCCCGAGGCCTACTTCCTCGGCATCGCCGACCGCCTCGTCGAGATCCCCTTCCCCGAGGACAAGGACGTGCCGGGCCACAGGGAGGGCGAGAAGCCCGCCGACGGCGCCAAGCAGAAGCTCATGCTCGAGACGGCGCGTCGCGGCGTCCTCAGCGAGGCCGTGCGCGTCGCGACCGAGATTTGCGAGGGCGGGCCCGTTGCTGTGCGGGCGGCGCTGCAGGCTGTCGGCTGGGCGCGCGAGGAGGTCGAGAACAAGATGTATGAGCGCGTCGTGGCGACGGAGGACAGGAACGAAGCACTCAAGGCGTTCCAGGAGAAGAGGAAGCCCGTGTTCCAGGGGCGGTAAACCAGACAAGCTCGCTTGGTGAGGGAAAATAGGCTGTACATAGGGCCGTCAATGGCCAGATTGGGGTAATCTAGCTGCTACCATGATACAACATGAGCGTGTGAGCTGTGCTTGCACGATGACTTCAATTGCCACGCTGCATACGAGACGAATTAGTGATTGCTTCAGGAATTTGTGCAGACATTAAAGACCTGTAGCAGATTCCAGATCATCCGACATGGCCTGGCGGTCTCAGGGAGGACGAGCATCAGGTCGCAGGTACATCCTCACCGTTTCATGCCCCATGGACAGCTAACTATACCAGTGAGACGGATGCCGAGCCAAACGTCCGATGTCGAATTGAAACCACCACAAGGCCAATCCCCCGGGACATCGCCATACCAGGCCATCGCGGATGCCAAAAGCCCAATGTATTACCTTTCTTCGCGTTTTGTTGCATTCGCCCCAGAAAAGGAGACACATGTCGTCATTCCTGCATTGAGGGCCCCAGCCCACGCCAGTCATCATCACCGATGATCGATCACTGAGCGGCTGGCCACCGAGCGGCTGGCCACCGCCCCGGCTGTTGTCCGGCCGGCGCGCCCCCATAACCCAACGAGGTCTCGAACTCTGGCGACATGTCCGCCATCCCTGAGTGGTCGGAGGATCTGGCCCGTCGGCAGCCGCAAACGTCATCAGACGAGGTACTTTGTAGAAGAGGCCGGCGAAAGAGGAATGGCGGAGTGCAGGTGAATCACGGCTTCACGTGCCTCTGGTCCCTCCCCCTCCCCGCTTCTCTGTCTCCGTCTCTCTCTGTCTCCGTCTCTCTCTGCACTGTGTCTGCACTGCACCTGCCCCGAAAAGCACAGGCAAACGACGAGCTCCAGATGACATCACTCGAGCTTCATCCCATCCCACCACCTATTTACAGCGCCATCTGCTTCGCTGCTGAAACGTGCACTTCCCTCCTCTCCTCCTTCTCAGCCTCATCAAAAGAACAAAGACGCTTCTAATTCCTCGTCACATCCCAAATCAACTACCACACCCTTCAATTACCACATCCTTCCACTACCACACCCTTCCACTTTTACAGCACCAACTCACACTACCATACACAACCACTACACAACCACAACCACCACCACCATGTCGTTCCTCATCGAGACCATCACCCGCCGCACCGCCGCCCTGCCCATCACCCGCGCCACAACCCTCGCCGCCCCGCGCGCCTTCACCACAACCCCCTTCGCCTCCAAGTCAGCGACCGAGACGGTCAAGGACAGCCTCAAGACGGTCGACCGCGCCGTCAGCGACAAGATTGTCGATGGCATCAACGCCGGATGTACGTTTTTTCTTCTTCTTCTTCTTCTTCTTCTTCTTCTTTCTTTTTCCCCCCCTTCCCTACACATCTCCCTCGTGCTAACACACCGCCAGCCAACGTGGCGCAAAAAGTAAAGGCCACCGCCGACGACGTCTCGTCCAAGTCGGCCGCCGAACTGCGCGGCGAGGCCAAGGGCAAGGCCGAGGAGCTCAAGGGCCAGGCCAAGGGCGCCGCGCACGAGGCCGCCGGCAAGGCGCAGGGCACCGCCGAGCAGGTCAAGAAGAACCTGTAGACGAGGAACCTGAATTGCGACGGCAAGGTTCGCGCATCGCTTGGGAGGGAAGGTGGATGGCAGGAGCCACGCCTTGTAAACCTGTACAGTACTACAGCTGCATGATTGCATGACAGGGGGCGTTTTCACTTCAATGACATACATTATACCATGACTTTCACTTCTGCGTTGGAATGCTTGCTGCCTCGACACATGGAGGTCCATCACGATGCGGAAATCATCACTGTAAAATGTACCGACGTTCCACCTCCCCGCGCGGCCCGAACCCCCCGCCCCTCGGAAAGAGGCAGATGCCAGGGCTCCAACGCGCCGGGAGAGCAAATGGTCAAATCTGCGGCCGTAGCCCCAAACCACCCTTTGCCCCCACCCGTAAAACTTCCCTGCCTGAAAAGACAAAGAGAGCCCCTTGAGGCCCCCCTCGTGCAGGAGACATCGGCATGAGCGAGACGTCCCCTCCAGTCCACACCTCGCGGTCACGACGGGAGGGTCGGTCAAGCTGTTTTGATATACCGCTCGGAATACAGAGCTGGGTCAAGGATGAATCTCTCCTTGTGCTCCACCAAGCCGTGCGGATGACTCGAAAGTCGTGTACATGGGGGAGTTGTCACTTGGCGTCATGAAATTGCTGAGGCGCGGCCCGTCCGCCCGTGGGTATCGTACATTGGATTTTGTCATGTCATCTACCTTGTCAGCTCAGTTTGCTCCTCGTCGTGGTAACGTGCCGAATTCACGCTTCAAGTGAATTGGTCTTCGAAGAAGACCTTCTTCCGCCCGTTGCCCCGGTCGTCGTCTAGGCTATCGAGAGCACGGTCAATCTCCATAATATCCAGCATCTCAGCCTCGACATCGCGTTCCACGTCCTCTTCCACGTCGGCCGCGGCGTCGAGGTTGAATCCGAAGCCGGACCTTGGTCGACCCATGGGTAGCGTAAAATCGTGGGTCGGCTCGTCCTCAAAGGCGGCACTGCCCTCCCGCACGTTAGGGGGCGGTCCACGTATACTCCTCTTCTTGCCAATGTTGAGGCTGAAGGACACATTGCGACTCTGGTTCGGCCGCGGGTGTACGATGATAGCGTCCGCCGGCTCCGCCTTGCCCCTGTCGCCAAAGAGACGTCGACTCGTTGAGACGATGCCGCCAACCTTGGTGCCCACGCCCTCCTCAGACTCTCGAACGATGACCAGACGGCTCTCGCCCTGGATGAGCACCTCGATCCGCAGACCACCGTCATTTTCATGCAGCTTCTCAAAGTCGACGGCAGCGCTCACGCCGCAGCAGCGCTCGCCTAGAAGTCCAGTCGCCAGGTCTTGGAGTCGGACCATCCGCGTAGGTGTCGTGCCGCTGAACAGGTTCACGCCTCCACCGGAGCTCCTTCGCAGCTGCGCGTCCCAGAATCGAGAAACGGCAGGGATGACGGAGACGTTGTCGTGCCCTCCGATCCAGACCACGACGCTCTCGTCACCCGACTGCGAGCCTCTAGTCGGCAGTGGTATCACCGTCACGCCACCCTTGATACTGGCGAGCTTTTCAGGGGTTGCGACGGCATTGAGTGACGCGGCAGCGTCGCGCCGGCTATGTGGTGTCAATGGGACGAAATCGCCACTGGACCTCGCGCCGTTGACCGCGTTGCGAAGCGGACTCGTGCCCTCGATTTGCCCAGATACGCTAAAGGCAGTCAGCGCCGCACCCTGGATGCCCGAGCTTTGCTTGCCCAGGAGTGTTGAACCCAGCGGGCTGGCGCCCTCAATATCCCAGATGCCCCAGGAGCCATCGGCTAGGAGAGCGAAAACCGCGCGGCCGTGCGATATCCAGGCTGCATCGAGAATCGGTTTCCGTGTGGCCGTGGGTCGGGCAAAGGGCTGATATAGGGATAGAAGCCACGATCCCTTGGTTGGGAATGGACTGATGGATTGATCATCCGGTGGCAGGGAGGCCGCAGCATAGTCGTAGATTCGAGCTGCTTGGGAGCCCGCAACGACCAGCAGCTGCGATGTATTTGTGGGATTAAAAGAGATGCCGATCAGGGGAGTTGGGAGATATTCAGTCTGGAACGGCCTGACGCGGCTCTTGTCCCCGCCTTCAGTCTTGATATCCAGTGGCACGTCCCACAGCCGTAGCACACCAGAAGCTTCCTTGTTGTGCGAAGCAACGACGAGACGGCTCCTGGGCGCGGCCAGTGAAGCTCCGGCCTGCTCGCGTATCCGGTCGCTCGTGCTAGAACTCTTGGGTGGCTTGGCGAGAGATAACGCAATGCCATGGCTGTGTTTGGTCTGTCCGGTCAAGACCACAACAGAGTCTCCCCACTGTCCAGAACCGGCGGTGGCTGACAACAAGCTCGACCGTAATTCGGGACGCGCCTTGCTCTCGGGGCTGGGAGGCGTCAGAGGTAGGGACAAGACGTAGACGTCGGCATTGGAGCAGGAAACTGCGAACACTATGGTGTCTTTGAGGGTCTCGGCGCCAGCGCCGGCAGCTTCCTCTGCGGTGCAGGGTGTGATGGGCAGCACGGCGATCTGGAGGGCAGGAGCTCCCAGGGATAGATCGAGCGTTTGTATGATATCCGGGTAGGGCTCATCTTCAGCGGCGTCCTCGAATTCGGGCTTGTCGACGTAGGGTACCACTGTTTGTTTCTTTGACGGTGGTGCATCTTCTTCGTCGCTATCTACCAGCATGACCACGTCGGCGAATGGGGTCGCGTTACCGTTTGGCTTACTGGCAGGAGGTGTCGCCTTTTGGGGGGCTTTGAACCTTCTGCCACCACGCCACGCAATCGTGATGCCGTTGCCATGTGCGTAAAGTAGAATAGTGGCGCCTTGGGGAGAAAGAACGGGGTATGTTTTGACATCGTGTATACGTTTAGCCAGATTGTACCTGTATGGCAAGTCAGTCACAGCGCTGCCAACAGATTTCCAATAGCAGCATACGTGTACTGTGTGTTTTGTGATGTTCGACGAACTCGCGGCTTCGGCTGAGAAGCCATGCTGACCGGGTGGTGGCTTTGCTTCGCAATCGTGGATCAAAGGGACAACGAGCTGTCGAGGCGAAGGCAGGAATGCCCGTACGTCAGCGAATTGCCTGGTTTGTGTCGTTGGATCGGTTGATAGAAGGATCAAACCGATGGAATCCGCAAGGGGATGGAGAAGGTGCGGTAATGGAGCTGGCCGTTATGGTTGGATGTGGTTTGGACGAGGCTTCAAAAACCAAACGCGACAAGCATCGCGAACAGAGGAAATGCCAAAGTGGGTCCTGGACAGCTCCTCGGGTCTGTGCGTCTGTGGTTTGCTCCGTCAGTCAGTTGCCGCCCAGCTGCACCTTACTCCACCTGCACCTGCACCACCTGAGGTAAGGTGCCTAGCAAACACCCACTTAATGGTGTCAAAGAAACTCCAGCTGGCCAAACCCCTGATACAGCTCGACGAACTTTGAGCTTTCAGTAGCAGCTTTCCAGAGAAGCTACTCAAACAAAATCGAATTCGGGAGCAAACCGTCTCACCGCCACTTGTTTGGTCCATCAAGCTCATGAGGGAGCCTCTGGATCGCTCTACACACAAGTTCCTTCCAAAGGTTTGGGCAGCCACGAATAAGGGTGATACTCACTCTCCACCTCCAACAGCTTCCCGTCGTTCCGCATCAATTCATCCGACCTACCGCGAGAGATAGCTCCAGGCGTGAGAACGATGCTTGTTCCTTCAGTCGCGAGTGCTACGGCACAATTTTATCCCATTGGCAACACACCCGCCATCAGTCTCACCCGGGCGGTCCCCCAAGGCCGGGATGCTAACATTCTCCTTGCCGGCTGTGGTGATGCACGCAACATTCTCTTCACTGCCTACATGCAGGAAAAATCATGCATGTTGGCCCTCGTCTGTTATTGCGGCATGGGACTGATCGAGTTCCAGGTCCCCGAAAACTCGACATCACCTGCTGCGACACTGAGCCCAGCATTCTAGGTACGTCTTCACTAACAAGTAGAGATACCGAGCACCGTCTTCTAACAGCCCTTCAGCCCGCAACATTGTCCTGTTTTCCTTCATCATCGATCATGGCGATGACCTTGACAGCAGCTCGCTTTGGAACATGTACTATCATCTCTATCTCGATGGTTCGGATATGGAATGCCTGTCGTCACAATCCAAAAAGCTGGTCGCGTCCTCTGAGAACCTCGAGGCTTGGAAGTCAGGCGTATATGGCAGTATACTTCCTTTCAGCGACGAGGGGACGCTGGATGACATTCGAGCGGTCTGGCTCAAGTACGCAGCTGCTTCCACGGAACCCGACTCTGCACAGAGGGATGCCTTCCAGAGCCACCTGAAACGGTCCTTGGCTGACATGGCCTTACAATTCCGAAGCAAAGAGAACGAGTTGCCCTTCGTCACCACTGCTATGCGCTCTGCAGCACCCATATTAACTGCAAAACAAGAAGATGTTGTTCAGGAATACAAGCACTTCTGGAAGCACGGAACTATCGGCTTCGACGCGCCATCCATCCCCAACCCCATGATCGCAGCCTCCCTTTCCGAGCAAGTCGCCCTTCATTATGGCACCAATCCCATTCTGGGGTTCCACCTCGCCACGGGCTATGCGCCCCTGGCCGAGGCGTCACCGCTGCGTCCCGAATACCGTCATGAAAAGTTCAAGGCAGTGGCTTCTGCAAAGGCCCAGTTCAAGGCTTGGCTTATTGCCTGCAGTGCCTTGTTCAAGGCCCGTCACTTGGTTGTGAGATTTGCTTCTGCGGATGTATTTGCCTTCTGCCATACGTTGCAGCACCAAGATTCGTCAGCTGGCTGGTACAGGCGACAGTTCGACTCGCGCGTGCTCGAGTTGAACGTCGAACCGGGTGTTCCAAGAGTATTCGATGTCATTGATACGTCCAACCTAGCCGACCATGTCGGCACCCTGAACCTCTTGGTGTCCCTCATACCACTTCTAGCTCCGCAGCCGTGGGCGACGCTATCTACAGAAACACTTCTGAAAGGCTCAAGCTCCTCTGATCAGGAAATCCTCGACAACCTCCTTTGCGGCCACGCTCCCACCGTCTCGTTGCTCCTCGGCGTCAGTCCAGTTGAATACTGGACGAACGCCACAGCCGTCTCGACGCTGCAAGAAATCATGCTGGGGTTGAGCGCCTTTAAGACCGGCCCTACCCAGGTTCATAGCCGTATCAGTTGGAAACACAATGGAAGCCTGTCCGGTACCCACGCCTCTATCCGTGTCGAGATTCAGCCTCAAGAGCTTGCCGCGATCGTCTTTCAGATGTACCTGAAGATGTTCGCACACGAAAATCCGATGGCGATGCTAACACTAAGTGGCCCTGGTAGCTCACAGTACGGTCCAACCTCTGTCTTTACTCACTTTCACCGCGGCAGCCTCATGGCATTGCTCAAGTTTCTTGGAAAGTCAACACTCGTCGCAGACATTGCAGAGATCTGCATGGAACTAGATAAAATGATTCTAGCGGACAAAACTCTCGTATTCTCGAGCCAACATGCTCAGGAGAGAGGCTCACTTTTCCACGTGCACAACCTCTTCTCCCCCGACTGGCTTCGCAGCGCAATCCGCCGCAGCCCATCTGCTGGGCCATTTGCCGCCTGGTCCGAAATCCCCGAAGTCGTGGCTGTTACGTTGGTTATTCCGCGTGCAGAAGTGTCCCGACTGTACACCAGTTCACCGGAGGCTAGGCTTTCTGCACCGACATTCATGGGATCGTTGAGATCTAGTCCTACTGCCGCCAGCCAGTGGCACAACACGTTTGGTGACGTACATCTGAATTTTGGCACAGTCAGCACTTCAGGTTTGGCAACAGAAGACGGCTTCTGTGTGCACGTAGATCAGGACGAGAACGGGTGGTCCAGTAACGCGCCACTGATTGCCTCGTTCTATGTCCCTGCTGGTGCGCTCCAAGCCGAACCCAAGTCGGCCTTGATCGGGCTTGAGGTCCAGGTCAGTCCTCAAAGTCAAGCTATCTACTATCCAGTTCTCGGCCCGGAAATGCTGGTGTTCCAGGCACGATTGGACGAAACCAAGCATGTCTTCGTCACGAAATATCTTCCTGGTCAGAAAAGATACCCAGTATATTGTGCAGGGCCAGCAAATTCTGATACTGCAAGCGGCACGCCTGGTATTAGTGGACAATCGCGCTTCATGGCCGAGAGTGACTTGAGCGGCAAGATAACCAGTATAGTTGGCCGCTTGAGCCAGCTCCCCCAGCAAGCTGAACAGCTTCTGAAAGACAAGACCGTTGTGAAGCTTCGTCAAGCGTCACCGTTCACGGTTGAGTTCGTCTTTGTCGACACTAAAGTGGCTCTACCCATGACGTTTCCAGTCCCAGTTGACTCACGCAATGGACGGACTCGCGTCGCTCGGAAGTCGGGCTACGTTGAAGCCGTAGTGCCCTTTGGGGAGCCTCTGTCTCTACCAGCCCTGACGGACTTCATATATCCATCTTTGGCCGTCAGAGATATGAAATCCGGGTTGTTTCCGGTCACTTTGAATTCTCCCCATCTTTCCCTCGATCGCCTGCCCATCCTAGATCTCTCTGACAAGAACTCACTTGGATGGCTCACATCTCTGACGTCTGCGCAATTTTGACCGCGGGAGGCACAGGCTCGCGAAGTGTCGCAAAAGAGAGGGGTGAAGTCGACATCTGCTCGTCTTAACTTCAAGGAGTCTCTGTTCACCATTTTCATGATCGCCTCTGGCTTACAGGGAGGTCAGACGGGGCTTTTCGCCATTGACCATCCCGATCGCGGCGGGATCCACATGCTTCTCTTCGTCTCGGCGTTCCGGCTCGACGGCGCCGCTTCTTCGATCGTTCTCGACGCCGCCATTCTCCCCTTGACCGTATCCATCATCACCTCCGGCGACGTAGGCGACTTCCTCATGACGCTGCGCACCCTGGAAATCTGTTCCATCACAGTTGACGATGACGAGCTCGTCCTGTGGAAGAGGGCGCTGCCTGCTCTGGCTGAGCGGGGACGCAGTTGGTCCCATAAGAAGTCCTGTGAATACGTCAAGTCTGGCAAGATTCCCCTCTCCGTTGAGCCTGGTGAATCGGTGCTCTGTTCCTGCGGCGTCGGTCGCTTCCCTGATAGCTTTGTCGGCGTACCGTACTGGGAACAGGGCGCAAAGCACGCGACGCGCATTGCCATCAGCCCCACGTTCGCCGTGTCGTTCGTCGAAGACGTCTTTGACTTTGACAGATTCCGTTCGCTGGCAAGCAATGAAGACGTCCCCGCAAAGGAGCGTTGCAGCAACTGTCGCGCGACCGAGGCCAAGGGCACGGGTGGGCCGCTCAAGAAGTGCTCTCGATGCCAGACAGCAAAGTACTGCAGCGCTGAGTGTCAGAAGAAGGACTGGCGGGTTCACCGAGGCGAGTGTGCGCCGAAGCTGCAGTAGAGGGTGCCTTTGGAACCCAGCATACAGATCACTGTGTAGATTAGGGATGATTTTACGCATGCTTGATGAGACGTATCGCGACTTGAATGGTTAGACATGATGAAGCCAGCGTAGCCGTCGTTTTGACAGACCTTGAAGCAGCATGGAATAGCATAGGAGATCGATGAGATGCCGTTCACCTCACAAACTTGCACTTTTCGGACCTCGTCGATGACCTGCAGTTGATCGTGTGCATCCCCCGCATGAGTCAAATTGAGAGTCTGCAGTGACTGGTACGGCAACGGCCTGGAGATCACCGCCGAACGCGATCTAAGTACCGACGATCGGTCCATCCTGCCGACTCCCTGGGCGGTGCATGAAACAACAGGCACCCTCATCGCTCATCTCCGCGTCAAGGTCGAGCATAAAATCAAACACCAGCACCGAGCAAAAAAGGAAATGCAAGACCCCTTCTTGGCCTATATGTGGCAGATTGAACGTCATACCCCACGACCACTGCAACAAGAACCCCAGGCCGTGAGACAAAACCCGGCCGTCGGAACCCACCCGTCCAACCCCTCGCACAAACCAAGTATCCAAGTTCTATTCCGCCCCTTCCCTGGCACAGCATAGCCTCCCCGTCCAATTCAAGCTACCAGACAAGCGGTTTGCAAAAAAATGGCCCCAATTAAATTCCTCACTATTACCACCCAGATAGTCTGCCAGTGGGAGGCAATATGGACGCCAGCCTCGTAGGCTAGGGTCTACTAACTGAGGGTACCGGCCTCAAATCTAGCCTTCTAGATTAACTGCTCTATAAGTTCTAGGTCCCTAGGCGTAAGGGATCTTAGGCGGCTACGGGTCTCTAGTCTCTAGGGGTCGTTATAGAGGCGTCGGTCGCGGTGTTCCTTGAGGATCCGATTTCTAGTACGAACTGGAACTCCGTTTAACGTAAAAAGGCGTCTTTTGAAATAGGGAATCTTATACCGTTCCATATATTCAATAACCCCTAGGATCCTGGATTTCGTAGGCGTCTAGTGATGGGGTTGTTCGGCCATTTCGTAGGTTATTATAATGGTGAGGAATTTAATTGGGGCCATTTTTTTTGCAAACCGCTTGCCAGACAAACAAGCCCGCGTCCTTAAAGCAGTCTTCCCCTTTCCAAACCCAGGAACCCAAGTGGCAGTGCCGACGCCCCATCATTGAAAAAATGGAGCCTTCATCCACACACACACAGGATAAATCGCACCGTGATCGTCAGGGGGTCTTGCCCGAACCGATCGAAACCGCCCAAGCCCAAACGGTCTGTCCCCCTCTCAAGTCTGTGTGACTTGCTTCTCGTCGCCCCCGTGACCCAAACAGGTGCCCAGCTAGCTACCCAGCCAGCTAGCTTAGGTACCTTAGACAGCCAAACAGCCAGGAGTAAGGTAAGGTAGTCAGCAAGGGGCAAAGAGAGAGGGGAGGCGGCCTCCTTCGCACTTCCCCCACCAACACTGACCGACCCGTACCTGAACGCAGCACAGGGAACGGCACTTGTTGGCGCATCTGAGCACACACGTCTCGGCTGGTTTCCCCGCGAACCCACACGGCCCTCCTCGGTTCCCTGGGTCTTGGCTGGTCGGTCATCCCCGAATCGTGGGTTCGGGTGAGGAGAGCTCCTGTGATGCTCTGGCTCGAGTCGATGGATGCCTTGGTTTGTTGTTGGAAAATCGGCGTCGCTTGGGCTGCGTCTCATCATGACCGCGTTGATGGGGCCTTGTGCTTTTGTCGTGACAGCTCTGAAATCTCCGAATGGAAATAACAGGATACTGTTGTAGAACTTCGGAATTAGGAGCAAGAAAAAACGCACCAGTATGCGGCGATGAGTTCTGATCACTTTTATGCTCGATTACAATGCGTAGCTCTACGTAAACCGAGCTACCCACACGCCTGCCAGCGCATCCCTAACGGCACAGCATCCAACGCGAGCCAGCCTGCCCCGGATGCCGGACATGTCCCGTCTCCAATCCCAGAAGCCCAGCACACATGAGCTCCTCCCCTCTTCCGTCGGGCCAGGATAACCGCAGCACATCCATGGCTCAGCCGGTGGGATTGAGGGGGGGGGGCACCCTATCTATACACGCCACGAGACTCCCTCAGCCGTCCGTGCTGCAGTACTCCATCTCCACCACTGATCCATCCAAAAATCGTAAAACAGGTATGTGTAGGTATGTAGGAGGCCGGGCCAGCGATCATCTTACTCTATTCATGTACAAAGATAGCTTTGTCCATGAACCAGAAACCGGTGGTCAATGGCCCGTACCATGAGTCGGTGGGTGAGGGTGTCTCGAGACACCCGGTATACCTCTGAAGGTCTAAAAAGAATAAGAGCTGTAAACTGGGGAAAATGAAGGAGTGGATGGCGTTAATTGTTGCTCGGTGTCCGTTGGGTGGGTTGGATGGCGGTGATGGTGCGTTTTCGAAAATGAAAATCCAACTCGCAAATGAACCTCCGTCGTAAACCTCGAGCTGATGGATATCCCTGCACCGTGACAAGACAGATGAGACGAGAAAATACAACAAATCAACACCGTGCTCGTATCGCCTCGACGATCAAGCCGCCCAAAGTAAAACCAGCAAGAGAAACATCAGAAACGCCTAAAATGCCGAGGAAATGAGTGTATTTGTGGTGAGGTGATCACGGGCAGAGGTCGTTCGTCGTGACTGGCATGGCGCTCTCTCATGCGTTGGTTACCTAGCCATGTTAGTTGGTCTCTCCGACACTGTGGAAGCTATGGAAACGTACTCGAAGAATCTTGCGCGAATAATCTTGGTTGTCGGCGATGCTGCCGTCGCTCATCCGGCGGTGAGCAAAACCGGGATCCATGCGAGAATCGGTCATGGAAATACCGCCACTGCTGCTCGGGGGCTTCGCACCGGCAATGAAAGAGTTCACCGCGGCGTTGCGGCGGTGTTCTTCCTCAATCTCAGAGTTGCGTTTGCGACGCACCCACCAGAAGATGGCGCCAGCAATAGCAGCCATGGCGACCACGCCTACAACGACACCCGCGATGATGCCGCCAATAGAAGGACCGCCATTCCCAGACTCTCCACTGTCGGTCTCGACAGGGGCGCTGCTTGCAGTTGTCACGGCGTCTTGTCCAGCCGTTGTAGATGGAGTGTTCGAGACTTCTGTGGTAGTCGCGGCAGGTATCGACGAAGTCGACGTCACTGTGGGCACAAAGTTCTCAACCACAACATCGAGACCAGAGTTGAAGACATCATAGAAGGTTCCGTCCTTGATGCCGCCACCTGTATTCGTTGTCAGCTCGTCAATTTCAAGGGGCCAGTGTGGAAGAGGAGGCACGTACAGGCATCATAAGGATAGCCTGGGCAGTTGTAGTTGCACTTGTCCTGGTCGACAAGGTCCTTTGCGGCTGGGTAGGTGTTACCACAGTAGCAAGTGGCGCCGTTCATTGCGTACACGTTGTATTTCGCCTTGCATGCACCGGCACAGGCTCCATTGCTGACGTTCCTGTCGGAGTAGATCTTTTGTAGCTCGCCCCGGGAACTGAAGCAACCCTGGTATACTTGGTTGTCGAGCAGAGGCGCACCCTGAGGGTACGGCTTGACCTTCACTGGCGCTTCTTGGGATTGCACCGAGGTGGCGGCGGCCAAGCAGGCCCAAGCTACTTGAGAAAACTTCATGTTGAGGTAGGTCGAGGGAAAGATGAAAGTAACGAGAGTCGAGGGTCAGAGCCAATGGTCGGCAGCGGTTGGGATGCCGGTTGAGCGAACCAGGCGTCGAACGCGTACCGTGAAAGTAGGGGATGTTGTCGTCGGTCCAAAGATCAGGTTCCCTCGAGGGCCAGACAAAGTCGGTTAATGTCTTTTTGATGATTGTACTCGTGATGCGAGTCTAGTCGATGTGTAGAATCACTGGCGTGGTTGTTGCATCCGAGGACAACTCGGGGTCTTCGACGTGTGTGACCCGGCCGAGAGTTGAGTATTGTTCTTTTCCTCAAAGAACCCCGGAGAGAAGCAGAATGAGAGAACGGATGACGCTGTACTGTTGCTGATGGGCGTTTGGGGTTCCCGAACAACGATCGATGGGCGAGAGCGAGAGAATGACTGTGGGTGGAAGGGGGAGAGAGGAGAACGTGAGGGTGGATGAACGAGGGTGAAGCGCCAGTGAACAGTGGGACTCGGGCACGCACAGGACTGGACTGGCTGGGACTGGCTGGGACTGACGGGCGAGGGAACGAAAGGACCCGCGGCAGGAATTGGAAGGGACTGGCGTGTTTTGTTGGAAGTGGGTTTGATGAGGAAGGAAAGCGAGATTGCTGCCCCACCCAGGGGGTCATGTCACAGCAGAGGGGGTGTGCTGAGTGAAGGCCAGCCAGTCATCATGCCCCGTTGACCGTTGGCCCCTACCCGCAGTTGCATCGCAACACGCAAATGCACTACACCCGGGTGTGTGGCAGGAAAAGCCGCATTCGGCCACTAAATCGCGTGAGCCAATGAACACGGTTTGTTCCTGACCAAGGCCTCCACAGTGCCAGACTGATTGGTCAGAGCCCTGTAGATCCATCCCAAAGGCCCGCGCTGTCAGGCAAAGGGCCACCAGACAAGTGACAAAGTGAAGGATAGATGACCAGGTATCTGCTACTTACCATACGAACCTTGGCCCCTCTCTTTCTGTTAACATTTGAACGACTTTTTCCAGACAGGGCTCAACATCTGCGATGTTCACAACAGCAGAAGCGAGTCCTCGAGACCCCCTCCCACACCAGCAGATCAAGACGGTGTACATGGTACATTTGAGCTCCCCCCCCCCTCCCTCTTGCCTATCTTTTCATGAAGCAGTGGGTGTGGTGATTCCTGGTCCATGCCATGTGCTACCACCTACTTTACATGGTACTACTACCACCATGTACACAATGGTTGTCTTCACGAGGTTCCTTCTATGCAACCGTCAGGGGCGGTAGGATTCTGGGTTGCCTCTCACGACTCGCCTCATTGATTATGTTACAAGGCCGCGATCAGGTCGTCAACTTGGGCATTTGAGCAGGCCATGACATGCATCGAATCGATTCGAAACGAGAGGCCTGCTTGCTTTGCTTGTCGAAAGCATCCAGCCCTCAAGCCCCCTTCATCAGGCCCTTCATCAGGCTTGATCAGCGCTCAGCATTTCCCACTGGAGTCGGCCCCGTAATACCAAGGCACACGGATCGCCGAAGGGCATGTGAGACTGCCAGGCAGGCCCAAAAGAACGAGCACAAGACGGACAGCGATGCACAAATGTGCCTACATGTACATGTAGCAGTCACAAAACCAAGTGCACAAAATGGGCACGCATAACTTTGGTCCACGATTGCTTCTCGGCTCGACAGCACCAATTGCGAAACGCCGCCGAGGGGGTTCCAAGGTCGCAGCCTGAAACAGATACTTTCTGCCCGCTTTCTTTGTGCAGAGTGCAGTAGCTTTCACAAGGGTCGTCACCAGCTGAAGGGTGTTGTCGAGCGATGGACACCACTTCTTCTGAGCCATCGATCTGCTTTGGGGCACATTGCGACCTGAATGACGAGGCCAGGCTCCGCTCGACTGGCCCACGACTTGTTTGTTCGGGGAGGCTGCAGCGTTGCACATGGCGGCTTCGATACCGACTGCTATGGCGCTTGTGGCTTTCGGGTGTGCCGCTGCCGGCACACTGTTGTGTCGAATCTCGCCCTCACCTCGAACTCGACTGCTCTGTCAGCCGTTCCAGTTTCTCTCGTTATCTTGGAAGTGGGCCGATCATTGCCAGCACAGCCGCTGCTACCTCGTGTCGCTCTTCGAATGGCTGCCACAGTTGCCATGCAAACATTCCGGCGGGAGTGTGTCCCAGTTGTGGAATGCGGCTGCCCTATCGACATTCGAGAAACAGCTTGATTGATTTTGAGATTCTCGCGGGAGGCACAGCCTGCTTCGTAAAGACAGTCCGGGCACAAAATGGGGGCTAAAGATGCAGGCATCCCCATGGCGGGTCATGGCAATCATTAATCAGGGACATGCTCGCTGCAGCAAGGTCCTCCCCCGTTGCCCCAAGGCTTTCTTCGGTCGGCTTGTGTAGAGTGCTCTCGCTCTTGGACCATGTCACCCCACCCTCCCTCTCCCTTTCAGACCATCCGGTTCTTCCGTGTTCAGCATGTACCCGACATGTGTCCTCGGCCGTCCGGCATGAATACGAAGGGCCTGTGCCGTCTGCTCGGCGCTCGAACCGGCCTCCGCTAGCTGCCCGCCGCGTCTGCAGCTCGCATATGAAGCTGCACATTGTGCTTATTGCCTATAACAGCAGGACCAAAGAGATGGGATCTTTTCTAAAGAGGACCACCGGCCTCAGGGTGTTTGCGTGATTGTACCCACTCACGGCCCCCTTCAGGAAGCTTTGCAGCCAGCGACGTGCTTATCCACGTTGTGGATGCCTGGAGCGAGCGGAGTACTCATCCGGCTCACATGTTCATGGCAAACTTTACTTCAGTCAAGCTCTGCTTTTCTCCATCGAATACGACGATCCTTACATGTACACGTTCAACACACATCCGGCACTGCTCGCCCAACTTACTGTACATGTACAGTACACGTACTGCCCCAACTAGGATGATCGAGGACGCGTAAAAACCCTCCTGGCAGATGCATCCCATCAACACTACATGTAGACCGCTCGAGAATGCCGGCGATCTAACCAGCTGCAAGTGAAAAGCACCCTCCTTGTACTATGACGTGTTGATAGTTGTGCAATCAATACTATAGCACTTCCTTGCAGCCACTGGGGCCTTTGAGAGGTTTTATTCCGCCGTCCCCACTATCCGATCTGGCCGGACTCCTTGTTGACGGACTGAGCCATAGGGGGCGGGAGGAGAGGGCAAGCCTCTGTGGCGTGCACCGTCGTTCTGGAATGAAATGAGCTCAGCTGGTCCACACACGTTCACGCTCTGTTGTCCCTCACGGGCGTTGGCACTCCCTCTTCTCCCCCCCCCCCCCCCCCCACTACGCCGCACGAATGGCCAGGAAAGGGAATCCCTACGTTGATAACAGGCTGAATGACTGATTCACACGGCGCCATGTCAGGTTACATAAACCGCATGCGCTAAATTTTCTTTTCCGGAGTCGCGTCGAGGGGGGGGCGTCCTGTTTGAAGGCTTTCTTTTCCGCAGAAAACTCCCTCCAACCCCCAAGCCTTCATCCTTGTTTCTTTGGAGTTTTCAGCTTTTTGCGTGTACATGTAGTTGATACACGTTGGTGGCTGCGCTTTTTCAGGGGCTATAAGCGCCCCGTTGAAGATCTGTGCCTGGTTGGTTCCCCGCGCCCCTAGGAAAAATAAACCCTGCCCGCCGAGCGAAAGAGCACAAATCTGGAACGTCGAGGTGGCTCGAGCTCGGCTATGGTGCTTGCGTCATGCTGTCAAAATCGGGGAGCAACCCGAGAAAAGGCGGGCTGCCACTGATGGCCAGTAGTCATTCAGTGTCCGCTCAAACAGATACTTACTGAGTAAGCACGTCGAGCAGTCTTCAGTCTTCTCCAAGCAGCCTGCCAAGTGCAAGGTGATTGATGACCATGCAGGTGAGCTGGTACGGTGGTGATGTGATGCTTGCCAGCTGGCACGAGCGAGTTGTGCCTCTTCTCCTCGTGCGTTCGGAGTCTGACCAGGTGCGGTCTCATGTCTGACCACCCACCTGCGGATCGTGTAGTGTACAGACGTGGATGTCAGGGCAAGGCATCCGAGTAGAAAAGCCGAAAATGTCCGGCACTCTGCCGTGTCTGATGGGGCTGATCAGCCGGGCCGGTGGACCCGGCCGCTTTGAAAGATGGCTTTGGCGCCGGCTCGGCACCCAACACAACAGAAAGGCCAATGACGTGAAATGTAGCAATACTGCTTCAACTCAAGCTTCCCCATGCGCACAGCGACGACGCGGTGCGGTGAGGACGGAACGAGGTCTATGATCAGACCATTATCACACTACCATGATGGCTAGGTATTCTGTGAGAAAAGCCCGGTCCAGTACTGGCCTGTGTCACTTTGACCTCTCAGTCTGCCCATCGTCGAGTGAGGAGGTTGGTTGCTATAATTCATTGAGTTGCAAGCCATTGACAATCAAAAATGTTTTCGAAGGATGTTACGCTTGGTGCCTGCCATGCTTTCCAATTGTTTTCTTGCCAAGTGGTCATCACCGCTCCTCCGAGAGCCAACCCGAAGCGTCTTATTAGACGATGAGTAATCCACATTGTGGCCGACATGATTCAGATGCGTAGAGGAAGACGACTGTGTCTGACCAGGTATCACCACAATCACGGATCCTTTTGAGCTCGGGAGATCTAGCCAGCAAGCGAACCTAAGGCATGGTCACAGGTGATTTTGATATGAGCTCTGCATTGTCACCTGCAAGCCGCCCATCATCGCGTCAAGATCACGTCAGCCTTGAGTTATAATCTGGAGCACCGGGTGGCCCTGCTCATGAAGTGCCTTAGGTATAGCTGCACCATAGTTGAACCTCGATTCTCGAGACAATCAAGCGGTCACGGACTTTGGTATCAGTGGATAGCCCGGTCTAGACGCCCACACATGCTTAGGCGGCTATACAGAACCCTTTATGCTGCACCACGTGTCCTAGTGAGGGAGAAGCCTGGGACCTCTTGTCGGAGCGTTGTTTAGAACAGAGTGAAGAGGTCTTCCACACGTAGTCCGCAGGCAAGAGAATAAAAGTAGGGGGTTGGGATACATCCGAATTCTGGCCCTCCGCAGTATATATATATACGTTTATCGTAGCCCTTAGCCCCTGACCGATCCCCCTGCTTGGCAGCTCTGCAGGGTCGCCTGACACCTTTTTTTCTTCTCAGTATGTTATATGCACACATTAAGCCGTGGTCATTTCAATCTCGTCTATGCAGGGAAGTAGTCATGCTGCAGCAACTGGATATATACGCCGAGACATCTTCGTGGGTAACATCTTGCTGGCACTAACGGTTCCCTGACCCACGATCGTACATTACGTTACCTAGGTAGGTAGGTAGGCAGTTGCCTCAGACTGAAAAGTTTCTACTGAGACTTGAGGAGTATGTTGTCATACGGTAAACCTCGTTCGCAATGCTAGTGACTGCTACTGTATACCTCAATCTACTGTCAGTTCCTCATGCTGAACTACCATGATGAGCTCAATGAGATCTTACCTGAAAGTTATCATTGGTATTTTATGGTACTATGCTCATTTCTGTGAATGTGCATTTGGACCCTTCGCCAAGAAACCATGACCGTTTTGGTACGTGGTCCGCTGCAGCTCAAACCTGTGAGCCGCCAGGATGCTTCGAGACGCATATGGCAGTTGTCGCTGGTATACCAGTGAATACCCGCCCATATCTTCGTGGCTAGGCATAAGACCCATCATTGGCACAAATATGCTCAACAACAAGTGTTTGCTGCCATACAACCAACACGGCCATCAGACTGGAGCGTGGAGCCGCTGGTCGGGCATGCGGAATCAGTTCATCCTTGCGCGAGTGCTGCATCTTCACCACAAGGAAAGACTACACTGGACACTGAGCCGCTGCCAGGCCGAAGGTCTGCTCAATTTTCCACCGCTTCTTCGTGGCAGCGCAGTATTATAAAGAGAAGGGCGCACCCGCTTGTGTCTTCTCTTCAAACCCTTCACTCCTCAGGGCACATTCTCACGTCAAACCGTTTCAGACAGACAGTCATCTCTTCTCCTCCAATATGGTCAGACTCACTTTCCCGGCACTGGCCATGCTGTCATTGCTGTCATTCGTCACTGCTGCTCCAGCGGCAGCAAGTCCGGACAGTGTTGACATGGTCCCCTTCTCCATTGAGAAATGGGCTACCGACATTGGCAACGATCCCGACGGAGATCATTCTTCTGTCGAAGAAGCTGTCATTGCATTCGAAGCTACATTGAACAGCACTCGACTGCAAAAGCGATCTCCCATCTGCAATCACGTTCCTTTCAAGGAATGTCGCGTATGTCTTTCATCGCAGCCTCTTTGCTATCCTAACCAGCCTTCTAACATGTTCAGATTGCGGATGCGGTGGCGTGTATCAACGAGGCCAGCCGAAGAGGCTCCCAATCTGCCAACATCGCAGCAGGACAGGCCTCCCGATCCTGGCGTGGTCGTGGTACAGCGCAACTGTGGGCGTCAACAAATGGCGCCTTCTTGCAGCAGGCGAAGCAGATCACTCAGTACGTCCGCCTCTGTATCCCGCACAACTCTGGTCGGGCGGTTGCTCACAGCTCAACAGCCTCCAAGTAGCCCAGTCTGGCGGCAAGATTATGGACCACTGCACGAGAGCTGATGGCAGGGTGCAAGGATCGTGGATCTTCAACCAGCAGATCAATGTTGTTCTCTCCACCAGACTCAATCAACAGCTAGGTGGGAACCCCGAGCTTCTACGTGGCAGGCTGCCGCGATGTTAGCTAGGCATGTTGAAGTGGGTGAGAATGTTGACATAGGTGGATGAAGCTGATGGGCACTCGTTTGGCTCACCAAAGCATTTATGTAACCTCAAACAGTATATATTTGCCCGAGCTTCACCTACCTTCATTCGTGATCAAGGCTCGGGATTTTGCTCTTACCACGGAAGGGCTTGACATCAGGTACGTAATATGAGTATCTGCAATCAAGATAGTGACATGGCCCGCACACATGCAGTTGCGGCCGTGTCCGTTGCTCCGGAACCCTCCAAATCCGGTCCGGCTTACGTTACCGATTCCCCCTGTTGTTCATCTCGGCTGGGCTCAGCCTGTATGCGAGTGTTCATCCGCGACCGATCCGCCCTCGCGCGCCGATTCGAAAGCGACGAGACGCACTGGAGGCCTGAGGTACCATGTCTGCATCTCGAAGTGGGTGTTGTGCGGTGCGGTTGGCGCTACCAGATGGATCATGCGTTCTGTGATGGGCTTCGTGGGAGAAATTCAGGGGGGGGGGCACAGCGGTGATCGCTGATCGATCGCCCGTAGGGCAAGTTGCGGTCCTTGGACTCGGAACTGCGGGTTGATAGGGCCCAGCCTCCCCCAAAAGACATCTTGGCCAAGGTGACTACATGTAATGTCCCCCATCTCGACAGTGGCATGGCTAACGATGAGCTTCGATAGCATGTACATGTACATGTACACAGCTTGAAAGACAACGTTTTCAACAATGCACCATGAGTGGGGCGCCACGTTGGCACAAGGCTACCGTGTCGGACAAGGCTACCGTGTCGGACAAGGCTACCGTGTCGGACACGGCTGGCACATACATGTACAGAAGACCCAGAGTGAGGGAGTCTGAGTGAGGTGGGCAAAGACTCCACCTGCTCAACTCTGCCGCAACCTAAATGCTGACAATTTTTGCCTGAACGGGTAAGACCCGTGTTCCGAGTCGAGATGCACGGGGCGCATGGTAACATTCATCAAACGCTGTTGGCGCTAGCAAGTCGGTGGTTGAGAGACACGGAGTCAGTGGGGTCGAAGTGCCCTTGGCAGCGACCTGACGATGGCAGGGCCTTGTTCCGACTGGTTGCTCCTCCACTGATGCAGTTAAGGTACCTGACGCGACATTCAATTCGCTGCGCAAGGGCGGTGTCTGCATGCATTTCGATCATGACGGCCCTGTTGGCCAAGAACATGAGTATGAACCGGGGGCCAAAAAGGAAATGACAGAATCTGGTCTTTTTGACGCATACTATGTATAACCGCTTCGCACACGGCAGATTGGTCTCCCGAGTGCTCCCCTCACTGCTTACATGTACTTGGGCCGAGCGAGTTCTTGTTTACCTGAGACATTTCGATATCATGGTTAACTTCACCTTCCCTGTGCTGGCCGCCGTGGCTTTGGCTCCTTTGGTAGCCGCCTCCCCGCCAGCGAGGCTCATATTTCTGCGCAGCCAGCCCCTTTTTTCTCGATTGAGAAATGGGTCTCTGACTATGCTGAGAACCCCGAAGGAGACTATTTGTCTTTGCAGGAGGCCCTTGATGCATTCTTAGCGGGGTTGAACACCGCCAGCGCGGAGGACCATGCTTCTTGTAACCAGCTGGAAAGGCAAGAATCCCGCGTAAGTTCCCGTGGACAATTCCGCCACTAGCCAAAAACAACATGCCCGACTGACAAGACCAGGTCACGGATGCTGTCAACTGCATTGACCAGCTTCGCGGCAACCCGGATAATGAGGTCCCGATGACAGCGTCCCGGCAACTCTATTACGCTCACGGCACTGCGCAGATATGGGGAGGCGCCGGTCCGAACCTTGGAGGAAAGACAACCTTGTAAGCTCACCGTAACCGTTTCGTGACCGTTTCTTCACTAATTTGCAATACCCAGTCGCGAGATCGCCGAGACTGCTAGTCGCATCTTGGACAGCTGCACCAGGGCTGACGGCTGGGTGCAAGGAACAGATGACACAACCAACGGCACCGCCATCCATATTTCATCGGAATTCAACGCGTAGCGCCGTGTTGATGTTGGTGATATCGATCTTTCTTTGCCAACCAAATAACCTTTTCTGCGGCCCGTCCTGATTCAAGAGCTTTGACCTGGATGATCATGGCCTGTGACTTGCGTGCCTGAGACTCCTTGATAGATTCCCAGGTCTTTCTGTTCGCGTGATGTCCCGAATCCCATGGCCTTCTCACCCCGCAATCGGCGTGCTTGTTCAGTTCATCAGATATACGGAATCTAATTCGATCAAACAATGCAGAGTACATACATCACGTCTAATCAGGCCAGCCGCCAGACTCTCTAGGGTAGATAATATACAGTTACAGTTCGATGGAAAGGTGCTTGAAAATAGCAGCCACCCTCTCGAAAGACTTCTTCAGTCTTGCTGGCCTCAGCATGCCCTGGCCCGGCATGATGCCTGGCCCTTCGTCCAGCTCGCTCCACAGAACGCTGATCTGCCGCGCGGATAGCAGACCTGTGCCGCTGCCCTCAGGCGACGGGACTATCCCCAAAGCTTGCTCGAACTTGACCAGAATCTGGATGATGACCTCGGCAAACATCATACCCTGTACGCACGGCTTGACTAGCGGCAAGCCCCCGACCGTGAGTCCGTTGATGGGCGCGATGGGATCCGAACCAATGCGCTGGATCCGGGATGAGAGGTGCTCCAGAATCAGCTCGAAGAGCGTGATCAGCTGGGTGTAGATGCTTGTGAGGGTCAGGGCGAGAGGTGCCAGCAATGGCTCGCCCGCGGCGGCCGGATATGGGTGAGATGGAGTCACGCCCGTAGGGTAGACTTCACCTTGACTGGATTGCGGTGAGGGGGGAAGAATACTCGCCAGAATCTTGTCCGCGTTGGCGAAGCCACCCAACATGCCCCGGGTTGTTCGGTTGCCGCGTAATCGCGTCATAATGAGATGGATCTCTTGCGATGCCTTCAGTATGAAGTCTGCCAGCGTGGTGTTGTCGATGAAGAGCGGACTATCGTCGTATATGATGCGATTGAAGTTGATATTAGACTTGTGCATCTCGGCGGCCGCGACGCGAATGTGCAAGTCCAGATTCATCTTGGAAAGCTTGGATATGGCTTCCGATACGGCTATATCATCCACCTTGCCATGATCCAGCACCGGCTTCGTCATGGTAAGTTTGGTTGTTTCGCAAAGCTCTTCAGGGGGGGACGGCATGGCCATTGGCGCCTGCTCTGTGTATGGGGCTTGCGACGACAAGTCGAAATCCAAACTCGGTTCAAACATGTAGGGGCCATCTCCGTAGTGATCAATTGTTGATCCGGCAAAGGTGTTTTGATCGTAGGACTCGACGTCAAAAGATGGCCATATTGCTGTTCCAAGAGCTCCATTGTCGACAACTGGTGTTTGCGTCAGGGGTGTAGATGTGGGGGATGGAGACAGGTTGCCAAGATTCCACCCCAGTTGATGATTTCCTTGCAGAGTGACTGGCCCAGGAGAACTGTTCGGGGAACTTGAGTGGTGCCCCGAATACTCCCTGTTCAGCGTGGCCTGGTGATGCACAGGTGACGTGTTTGTGTTCTCTGATTGTCGAGTCTGTGGTGTTTCGGCCCCAGCAACGACTGGGCGCCTCCTGGGCCTACCGATCTTCTTTTGCTGCCCTGTCACACATTCGACGCCAAGCAGCGTGCACCGCGAGCATTTCGCGTCACTGGAGCTGAGACGCTGGCATCTGGCCTTGTGCTTCCTGCACACTTCACATGATATACGCTTCTGCGAAGGATGAACTGTTGAGACCCCCATTGAAAGATCTGTGCTTGAGGATGTAGGGTGTTGTTGTATGAATGAACATGAACAAGTCAGGATGGCTTGACAGGCGACCGGTGTGTGTGGATTGAGATTGAGGTGCAGCGCGGCTCTGGGCAGAAAGGGGCAGTCTTGCAAAGCTGTTGTCGGCACCGCGGGCTGGAACTCGTGGCCTCTTAAATGAAAGCCTCCGCGGAGGGTTTGATCTAGAGCAGGACATTCCCTGACTCGCTGAGACATGTTGATTTTCTAGGCCCCGATACCATAAACTTTGACTGGTTTCGGGGTTGCCGTTTGGCTCAATGAGGCATGGCGCCATGGTAATCCACCCGAGGACTCGGGGTTGACAGGTAATCATCAATTCCCTCCGGCGTCGTGCCCCGTGGGCCCATGGCATATCTGTGACCCCAAAGTCAGGCGCCAAAAAACAACGAGAACGTTCATCAATCCTCCGAAGGGGTGTTTTCTTTTCCATCAAAAGTAATGACGCATCGAGCTATTTAGCCCAACTGCATTCTTGTTATATCGGAGGTTTTGAGAACGAAACCTGTGGGTCCTACGGCTTTCATGACCGCAAGACGGACACTGCCTCACTCTTTACAAGCTGGCCATGGCTATGATGATGATTCATCGCGGAAGCTTTCGTGATTGGAAAGGGCTCTGCGAGACCCTGCGTAAGCATTGGTATACGGACATTTCTGACCAAAACCAGAGATGACCGCAAACGCGCATCCAGCCGAGGACTATATCTCTTTCCATCGTGGATCACATTGATGTATTGATTGAGTCAATCTTCTAGACAATCTTCTCCTACACTCTCAACTCCTCGAATCAATAGGCCACTCTTGTCACAGCCACCTTTTACCTTCGACAGCCGTCGACATGGAGGCCATCACTCCAGACCAGCAAACGCTGGCCGCCGACACGGATAACGAAACGGGGGACTACAGCTTCAAGTCGGCGTCACCACCTGTTGCCAGCAGCTCAGAATGGCACATGGCGCCTGAAGTACGCGAGAGGAAAAACAACGACGAGTCAGGTGGAGAGAAGCCTCGAAAGCTCGGTGTAACCTGGGACAGCCTCACAGTCAGGGGCATCAGCAGCGACGCCACGTTCAACGAAAACGTCGTTTCTCAGCTATACCCCTTTCACAAGAAGAGCAAAGATGCTCCCTTGAAGACTATCATCCATAACTCGCACGGTTGCGTCAAGCCTGGAGAGATGCTCCTCGTCCTCGGACGACCTGGCTCTGGGTGCACAACGCTACTCAGTGTGCTCTCCAACAACCGACTCGGTTACGAAGAAGTGTCGGGAGATGTGTTTTTTGGAAACATGTCTGCGAAAGAGGCCCGTCAATACGATGGCCAGATCATCATGAATACGGAGGAGGAAATCTTCTACCCTGCCTTGACCGTGGAGGACACGATTAACTTTGCTGCACGCATGAAAGTCCCAAACGTCTTGCCCCCGGGAATCAACTCGGCCGAGGAGTACGTTCAGGCCGAAAAAGACTTCCTTCTGCGTTCCGTCGGCATCTCCCACACCGCACACACAAAGGTCGGAGACGCATTCATGAGGGGCGTTTCTGGAGGAGAAAGAAAGCGCGTTTCGATTCTGGAATGCATGACGACCCGTGCCAGCGTGTTCTGCTGGGACAACTCGACGAGAGGCCTTGACGCTAGCACTGCACTTGAATGGATCAAGGCGATCAGGGTGCTGACTGACGTTCTTGGGCTCACCACAATCGTCACTCTTTACCAGGCCGGAAATGGCATTTATGAGCATTTCGACAAAGTACTCGTCCTCGACGAGGGCCAACAGATTTTCTACGGTCCTCAAGTCGACGCAGTGCCCTTCATGGAAAGCCTCGGTTTTGTTCGAGACTCGGGCTCGAACCGAGGTGATTTCTTGACTGGCGTGACGGTTCCTACGGAGCGTGTCATTGCTCCTGGGTTCGAAAACACGTTTCCTCGTACAGCCCACGAAATTCACGCTGCATACGAGGGTTCGAGAATTAGGGCCAAGATGCTCGAAGAAATTGAAACCTACCCCCAAAGCGCCGAGGCTGCCGAAAACACCGCCGTCTTCAAAGAGTCTGTTGCTCGTGAGAAGCACCGCGGAGTGCCGCAGAAATCCGCCGTTACTGCCGACCTGCTCACTCAGATCAGGGCTGCTGTAACGAGGCAGTACCAGCTCATGTGGGGAGACAAGGCCACGCTGATTCTCAAGCAAGTCGCCACGGTTGTTCAGGCACTCATCGGTGGCTCCCTCTTCTACAACACCCCTGACAATTCGGCCGGTCTCTTCCTCAAGGGTGGCGCTCTGTTCTTCTCCATCTTGTATAACGCCCTCATTGCCCTCTCAGAGGTCACCGACTCGTTCACAGGCAGGCCCATCCTCGCCAAGCATCGCTCTTTCGCCCTGTATCATCCGGCAGCTGTCGTTCTCGCACAGATCGCTGCCGACTTTCCCATTCTTCTCTTCCAGGTCACTCACTTTGGTCTGGTATTCTATTTCATGGTCGGCTTGAGGACCACGGCCGAGGCTTTCTTTACGTACTGGATCACAAACTTCATGACGGCCATGTCCATGACGGCGCTCTTCCGACTCATTGGCGCAGCATTCCCTACTTTCGACGCTGCGACAAAGGTATCAGGACTGGCAGTTGTTGCTTTGTTTGTGTACATGGGCTACATGATCATCAAGCCTATCATGCATCCTTGGTTTGTTTGGATATTCTGGATCAATCCCATGTCGTACGGTTTTGAGGCTCTGCTCGGCAACGAATTTCACGACACACAGATTGATTGCGTCGGCCCCTACATCATCCCGAGCGGTCCTGGCTACACAGACGGCCGAGGAGGACGATCATGCACCAGAGTGGGCGGTGCTGCGCCAGGCGACACCTCCGTCACGGGTGATGCCTATCTTGCCCACATGTCGTTCAGCCATAGCCATGTCTGGCGCAACTTTGGTATCGTTATTGCATGGTGGGTGTTTTTCGTCGCCGTCACCATCTTTTTCACCAACAGGTGGAAGCAGATGGGCGAGGGTGGACGCAGCCTTTTGATCCCTCGTGAGCAGCAACACAAGTCTAAGCATCTTTTGGAGAGCGCCTCCGACGCTGAGGGCGGAACCAAGGAGAAGACTTCGCCCAAGTCCGGTGCCGAGTCGCCATCTGGCAATGTGGGCAAGGAGCTCATCCGCAACGAGAGCATCTTCACCTGGAAGAATCTTACCTACACCGTCAAGACCAGCGACGGTGATCGTGTCCTCCTCGACAATGTGCAAGGATATGTCAAGCCTGGTATGCTCGGAGCCCTTATGGGCTCTTCTGGTGCCGGAAAGACAACGCTTCTCGACGTCCTCGCGCAGCGCAAGACCGAGGGAACGATCCACGGCTCTGTTCTGGTTGATGGCCGCCCGATCCCTATTTCTTTCCAGCGCTCTGCGGGTTATGTCGAACAGCTCGATATTCACGAGTCGTTGGCCACTGTCCGCGAGGCCCTTGAGTTCTCGGCTCTCTTGCGCCAGTCCCGCTACACTCCTGACGAGGAGAAGCTGAAATACGTAGATACGATTATTGACCTCCTGGAACTGAGGGACCTCGAGCACACGCTAGTCGGCCGCCCTGGCGCAGGCCTCTCGGTTGAACAGCGCAAGCGCCTTACCATTGCCGTCGAGCTCGTATCAAAGCCTAGCATCCTGATCTTCCTTGACGAACCCACCTCGGGTCTCGATGGCCAGGCTGCGTACAATACCATCCGCTTTCTTCGCAAGCTCGCCGCCGCCGGCCAGGCTATCTTGGTCACTATCCACCAGCCCTCGGCCCAGCTCTTCACACAGTTCGACACGCTGCTGCTCCTCGCCAAGGGGGGCAAGACGGTGTACTTTGGTGATATCGGCGAAAACGCCAGCACCATCAAGTCCTACTTCTCCCGGTTCGGAGCGCACTGCCCGCCCGACGCCAACCCGGCCGAGCACATTGTCGACGTCGTGTCCAGCACGCCGAGCTCGGGTGTCGTCCAAGACTGGAACAAGCACTGGCTCGAGTCGCCCGAGCACGACGCCCTCTCGGTGGAGATTGACAGGATGGTCGAGGACGCGGCGGCCCGGCCTACGGGGACCGTCGACGACGGCCACGAGTTTGCGGCGTCCATGTGGACGCAGACCAAGCTCGTCACGCAGCGCATGAACATCTCGCTCTTCCGCAACATTGACTACCTCGACAACAAATTCGCCATGCACATCAGTCTCGCTCTCCTCAACGGCTTCACCTTCTGGTCCATCGGTGACAGCCTCACGGACCTGCAGCAGAACCTCTTCACCATCTTCAAATTCATCTTCGTGGCCCCGGTGTCATCTGGCAGCTGCAACCCCTATTCATCGACCGACGCGACATTTACGAGGCGCGCGAGAAGAAGAGCAAGATGTACCAATGGGCGCCGTTCGTCACCGGTCTCATCGTCTCCGAATTTCCCCTAACTTGCTCGGCCTGGGCTCTGTTCAACTAGCTCTGGTGGGTACTCCATCTGTCCGGTCTGGCCCCACGGGGGCCGAAGAACG